ATAAGAAGCCTTACTATTGCCACACAGCCACTCTGTGAGGCGCATGAGAGTGGTGTTAATCCAAATAAATCGTTTCTATTAACGTTGGCTCCGTTGTCGATAAGAAGCCTTGCTAATACCTCATGGCCATTCTGTGAGGCCCATGAGAGTGGTGTTAACCCTCTGTCGAAGAGAGTGTTTATGTCGATTCCATTATTGATCAGAAGCCTCGCTACTGCCTCGCGTTTATTCTGTAAGGCCCATAAGAGTAAATTTACTCCATCAATTTTAGTACCCTTAATGCCAGCCTTATTGGTAATAAGAAACTTTACCACTGTCACATTGTCCTCCGATATGGCCCATGAGAGCAATGTCATTCCAGTACAATCTCTGACATTGATGTCGGCTCCCTTGTCAATAAGAAGCTTTGCCACTGCCTCATGGCCATTTTTAACAGCCTTCCACAGCGATGTGCGGCCATAATTCGACGTTTCTTTTGCGTTAACATCAACCCCGTTCTCGAGAAGCAGCTTCACGATAGGCTCATGGCCATTTTCTGCAGCCACCAGTAAGGGGAACCTCCCGTGCTTGTCTTGTGCAGTTGCTGAAGCGCCGCGTGACAAGAGGAGATTGACTATGGCCGTTTGACCCTTTTGCGAAGCTGAGAGAAGTGCTTCGGCACGCTCAGCTTCGTCACCACTCTCTCCGCCGTTGTCGAGAAGTAGCTTCACGATAGGCTCATGGCCATTTTCTGCAGCCACTAGTAATGGAAACCTCCCGTGATTGTTTCGCGAAGTTGCTGAAGCGCCGTGTGACAAGAGGAGATTGACTATGGCCGTTTGACCGCTGCGCGAAGCTAAGAGAAGTGCTTCGTCATCATGCTCGTCCTTGTCTTCGAAGCTCTCGTCGAATTTCTGTGATTTGTGTGTATTGGCTCCAGCTTTGAGCAATTCTGAAAGAAACTCTTCAAGAACATTGTCACATCCCTTGTAAGAGAGTTCTTTTAAGGCAAAATAGATAGCTCCGTCGAGCTTGACGTTCCTCTGAAGAAGCTTCAGGAGCAGCGTCTTGTTTCTATGACGAATGGCGTAGAAGACGGGCTCGGTCTGCTGCCCGAATAGATCAGCACCTGCCTCAATCAACTTCAAGATCACCTCCTCGGCGCCCACCAATGTCAGGGCAATCACCAACGGCGTCTCGCCATCGTTATTTTCCGCGTTGATATCCACAAAGTGGTTACTTCGATGGCTTGTGTATTTATTCTGAATGATGCTTTGGAGAATTGCCCTGAATCGAGGCTGCCGCTTGTTTGACCGATTTAGTAGCGCGAGTGCCATATTTTGGTGGCCATCTCTGAGGGCAAGAAGTAGTGGTGTGTTCCCATCCGCGTCTCTACCATCAACGTCTACATCATCTTTCTGCAGCAGTGCGTCAAAGGCGCTTTTCGACTCAAGCGCAATCAGGACATGAAGCGGCGTTGCTCCAATGAATGGCCACCCTATGGGTGAGTGGGCGTTATTAGGATCCATGACTCTCCATATGCTCGCAATTTTCCTCAAGAATTTAGATTGTCGATCCCATTGAATGACCTGGAGGAGATCATGTTGAGGAATTCCTTTCCGTTCCACCTCTCTGATATGGTGGAACACAGACCGCACTACATACGGCACTAATGGAAATCTTGCTGAGAATGTGCCGCGAGGTAGCTGGGCCCCTTCTGACACCTCCTTCAATGTCAAGTATCTGAGACAGGACCTCGATATTTCAAAGTGGCCAGCTCCGATTTGAGATTGAGAGGCATCCCCAAATCCGACATGGCCGAGAAACTTCCCGAATATATAGTCAGCGACTGATTGGTGGACGAACTGAACTTCCCGATCCGAGTCTTCTCCGCCAGGTTCGTATTGCTCCCAAATCTCACGGGTATGGAATTCCACCAAGCCTCTGGAAATGTGTCTAACGTGCTTTTCGAAATCGTCCAAAGTATCGGACCAGCTATCGTGGCTTCTGAGTTCGGAGATAGTCGGGCAAGTCATGTCTTTATCGGTAGCAAGCGCCTCCCGAAGCTCTTGTGCAGACAGGGGTCGCTCAGCAAATAGAATCCACTGGAACAGCTTGGTCATCTGGTGAATTTCGGCTTCAGTAACGCCGCTCAAAATGTTGGTGTATAGCTCGTCAAGGGCTTCTGGGGTAGTTTTGATCATCTCATGCAGCTTCTCCGCCTTGATGCCAATTGTGTTTCTATCAATCACCATTGAAGTGATTAAGACTACCCATTGAAATCCTCCTTGGGCCTTCAACAAGATCTCCTTCTCCATCTGCTGGCGCCTTGCTTTTGGTTGAATTTGCTCTAGTCGCTCTCGAATGACTAATCGGATGTCTTTATCGATTCTCTCTTCCACAGAGATCGTTGAGATCGTCTTAAGGTCAAGAAGTGGAAAATGTCTGGAAGAAAAGCATATCTTTACCTGCGCTTCTTCCCGTTCAACGTTGTTCATGTGGTTTTGAAATAGTGAAACAAATATTTGACATGAAATTCCCCACACTCATCGATCGCGTCGATGAAGATGGTTACAGGTCGGCTCCTCGTCCCCTTGGTCAAAACCTCAGACATGAATTCTTGAAGTTCTTCTTCGGTCCAAGCCCATCTATTCTCCTGATAAGTCCCAAAGCGTCTCTCATAGTCATTGAACCGTTCAGCGAGCTGAGAGAGATACTCCGGGAAGGATGTGAGCATAGAGTTCAGTAATGCGCGGAATACGCCTAGTAGGTTCTTCTGTAAAGGCGTTCCTCGGCCGTGAATGAGGAAGGACACAACGAGCTCCCCGGGCTGTCTGCAATTCATCATTTTAACGGCGTACTTCATGAGAACGGACTTTCTAGCCCCGGGATTCCTTTTGATCCAGAAAAGACCTCGTGATTTGCTCATCCAAGCTTGGTATTGTGAATCCTCGAGGAGCCACTCACAGGTGTCCTTTGCGGAATGGATTTCTTTGTACCTGTGCTCTTGTTCTCGAAAAGAAAGCGACCTGAGACATTCTATGTCGAGTCAGTCACTTGTTGCAAATTGTTCTCGATCTACGCACCATTGTTCTCATCGGAAAGTCGTGCTGGTGCTGGAGGAATAATTAGTATATTGTATATGAAGAGTCAAGGCTAATCACGCACAATTACTTTCAACTGCCGCACTCACGGTAACAGATTTGCTTTGTGATCTTCTTATTAGTGGCTTTAGAGCTATCCGAACACGGGTGTAGATCTCGTCGTATTGGTTGTTATATTTCACCATCTCAGAATGATTGCGGTTAATCGGATGTTGACGCTTACTGCCGCATGTCGCGGACGAGACGTCGACTAACACTTTAGGATCTCCGGAGAGTTCCCATTTGCCGTTTCCTGTCTGAACGAGATATAAGTAACATTTCAGGGCAGCAAGATAAAAGATAAAAATCTTCAAGAGTGCGCACCTCGACTGCAGTGGGGGAATTCTCCGTTTCGTAGAAGGAGACAATTTGAGGACGTTCTGTGCCGAATGCATTTCTAAAGTCCTTTTCGAGGCGTTGAAGGAGTGCTGAGTTTTTATTGAGCGACTCAAGAAGACCCCTGTTGGGGTAGTCTTTAACCAAAGGAACGAGTGTTTCAACAGCCATCCCTTGGTGAGGAACACCGGAAAGGGGGAATCCAGAAGTAGACCTCAGTATTGATGCGTCTTTTTTGTCCAATTCTTCTTTCAACTTGACTATGGCCTGTGACTCGGATTGTAAGTATGTGGCACGGAAATTGCTTCATGAATTTTTGGTGGAGCCAACACAAACCTCTTTAATAACAAGACCACCGAGGCTGTGTCCAATGAAAACTATGTGACGAATTTGGGTGAGCTGCTGAGCACAAGATTAGCTAGAGAGAGCAATTTGAATATAAGAAGACAATTCTACAAACCCGAATGCCTTTCATGTCGATTTGAAGAGCTTTGCCCAAGTCCGTTAAATTCTGAAATGATTTGCTTCGAATGAGTCGAGTGTCATATCCATATATTAAGATCCTTGCCCTGGGAAAGTCTATCGGAAGAGCATCACGGAGCCACATAAAGGACCCATGTCTTTCTTTGAAGGAACCGAACGCGTGTCCGCCGAGACCCGATACTGCGATCACACTAAATACACTTGTCAATGCCGTATATGTCAGAAATTCTCCTTTTACTCACTCAACATAGCAGTCATCGTCTTTCGTATGCTGAAGAGGCGTGAAACCCGAGAAATGCGTATCGAACACAAGTGATTTTCTCCGGCAGGGGCCATCCTCTTCTGAAGTTTCGTCCGTCGGGAGGTTAAACACCCATTCATTTCGAGAGCAGTCGGACAGACAGCCTGGGAGAGTATGAAAACTTAGAGTTGCGACTTTGCTGATTTGTTCGATGGGGCTGATTGCAAGTGAATGAACAACAACGCTCGCGCCGGCTTCTATGCAAAGGATCTTCTTAACGAGCTCACGGACATCAGCCCTGGTTTCGCATTCACATGGGATCCCTCGTAACCTAAAATTTTGGTAATGATCGGCTGACATAACGCTGCTGCACTGGTGACAGAGATTCCAAGAACTCGAAGATTAGAGAAAATTGGGCGCAAGTGGTATTTTCCGGGGTCGGTTTCCCACTTTATAACAGCAGAGCAAAACCCGGCACCCGTACCTCAAAATGTCATTAAGCCTCCATCTCAGACGTAGTACAATTTGTGTCCCAGGCTTTCATCAACTGGATGCCTTCAAGTCGGACGGTAATACCCGCCTGGGCGCCTAATAGGCGCTCGTCTCAACTCGATGCTGGTCAAGGCGGTTGGGCATACATCCTCTATTACTGGCTCGACCTTCGAGCGTTCGATTGGTTGGTCCGTGGTGGCACTGCATTCAGCCTGGTCTTGACTAGTTACACAATATGTAGAAGAGATTCTCTCCCTCTCCCTCTCCTCTCTCTCTCTCCCCTCCCTCTCCCCCTCCCTCTCTTTCAAAAGAGAATCAAATTGAATCCCTACCACAATGACCCGTTATCATGTCAAATAGGTGCTAGAATATGTATACCAGTTTACCCCTTGGGAACCATGCGATACCATTGACTCACCTACGCGGTCTTATTTTGCACGGCTGAGATACCCAGTGTCATCAATTTGCTCAGATTCAATCCTGACTATTATCCTCCAAAAACGCGATCATGTGTTTCCAAACCAGGAGTTTCGGTAGGCAAAGAATGGTAAGCAATAAAGTCAAGAAAAGAGCCTGCCAGTATCCTGTATCCTGATGAATATGGTCGTATATGATTGATCAGCAGAGCGATTGGCCTCAAACTGGCAGAGTTAATAGAATACCTATCACAAAGAGAAAAAGCCTACAAAAGCTGGTGATACTAACCAGCCATTATTCGGTCTATTAGCACAGTGGCACGCCTTCCATAAAGTTTACACTTACAAAGTAAAGGATTAAACATGGATGGCACAGGGGGTGCGTACATATATTAAATAACGCTATTTATTAGCTAAGATCCAGCTTGGCCTTTATAACTTCCGTGTTAGCATTGTCGTTGATCATCTTTTCTTCTTTTTCTTTTCAATTATACCACTGATATCTTTAAAGCGCTATATTTAGCAGTAAGATCCATTTTCGTGTGACGGCCACATTGCGATATTAACCCCTCATTCAATCATCATCAATTCTACCAGCTCCCACCCGAGGGCCGATACGAAGCTTACACAAATCCTTCAGTCCCACACTGCCACCATGGAACTCCCAAACATCATTATGTTCTACACATTAAATGTATTACTAACTACAACGTCAGTCGTTAATAGTCGCTAGACATCCTTGCACGCTCAATAGTATTTTGCAACCATGGGCGGAGATGCTAGTTAGGGACGAAGTGAGGGCAGCGCCGCAGGAAGGGAGCCTCGTCTGTTACCATATTTCCTCGGTATACTGGAAGTAAGCCTCGTCTGTTACATATTCCCTCGGTATATTGGACTGTGGATTTCCTCATGTATAACCCCTGTTTTGATCATGACAAGTAATACGCTAGCTTTGTCACGTTAGAATGTTACCATAAAACCAACAACTCAGTCCAGTTTAGCGAGAGAATACGGTGTTCTCTCTTGGAACAGACGATCTTCCGCAATTTTTCAACGAGGAGCTGACTGCCTCGCTGATTCACCTCTACCTCCACAATCCACGACTTGTTGTGTATACCTGTACAATTGGCCAGACCTTCTGGACATACAGACCATATTCGCTATGCTGCCAGAGTGGGCAGCCCATCGCGCTATGGGGACGATGGTGGCGATGCTGCTGTTCGGCACTGCATTTTCCATAGGCCACCATTTTTTTTTATCAGAGCCTGTCGGGAAAGCCGCCGCCAAGTTCCGTATATTTCAGCCGTTTTGGTGGCGGATTAACTGGACAACAAGTTAACTTGGCCGTCGGCTCTGTATTTGCCTTCCTTGTCAACTCTGCTCTTGGTGCTGTGATAACCACTGCGGCGGATCAGGCGCTGTGGGCAACGATTCGGACAAAACCATTGAAGCTGGGCACCATTGATAACTTGGCGACCGTAACAACCGGAATCTGGAGTGTATTTGACTTCCGATTGTGGAGAGATAGCCCGATTAGGATGTTTGTGGTTACTATCTTATGGTAAATACGGATCTTCTACATGATGTTTTTACATATGCGGAAGTCTATAGATACTCACATTTACAGGCTCATATCCATTACGTCTTTCATAACACCGGCCACTCTTAACGTAGGATGGTCAGCAACAACGTTCACGTCCTTAATGAGAGTCCCACAGATCGATTTTACCAGTTTGAACTTTGCCAACATACAATCACAGCCAGGTCTCTCGCCTGTGTATGATTACAGCAATCCCCAATATGCTGTCTTACAAACAGTGACGGGAAGCACGACAGGAGGTTATGTCTTGCCAATACCCTCACCATACGAAAATGCTACATGGGTGCTGAAATTTCCCGGGCCGGCTCTGTCGTGCGGAAACATTAACGAAGCATCGGCTTCATATCGTAACATCTCCGATAACATCCTCAACGCAACGACTGCGGGGGCAGAGGGCTGCGTGCGGTCCTTCGGCTACCTCTCTTGGGTGCCGACTATCCCCTATAACAATTCCGGAGCCATCAGCTCGCTACCGTTCCCGAGCCTCTTTAATATCTCGGGGAGCAAATTGAGTAACGTTGTATATGAACCGCCGTCACTGCTGCTCGGGCCGCTAAACGGGGACGCTGAAGTATTAGAACTCTATATCGCAGCCATACCGAGTATGAATCAGGATGTCACTTGCCAAAGGCAGCTACCTAATATGACTATTACGAGTTGTTATATGTATAATACCTCATACATAGCGAACTTTACATACGTCAACAACATTCAGAGCGTAAACATTACAACGCAAGGCTCGTTCAATAACGTCTCGGCAACGGAAACCATTGCAGGTGTAGCTCCGCTCGAAATTGACCAGACCCCTCACAATCCGCCCATGTACAATGTACAAGGGGTAGAGAATTATGCTTATGAGGCTGTAATGGACGCCTTTGGGCGAATGTTTGTGGGAGCTATAGTTCGTGACTTTGACGGCGATCCGTATGGGAGTACGGCGGGGGTAACAATTACTGCCAATATGGCCTCAACACCACTCCTACAAACGAAAGAATTCAACTTCTTGCAGCCTCTTACTGCGATAGGCAGCATAGTGTCACTGAAAGGGCTGATTGCTGATACAACTCGTCTGTGGAATGGCCATTCTATCGAAGAAGCAGCCAACTCGACCATCCCTATGGCCAGGGTGATGGAGGAGCTATTCCGCAATGCAACTGTATCCCTAATGAGCAATTCTTTGCTACAGTCAGTCAGCCATATCCCTAGCATCTCTTTGCCTCTATTTTTACTTTCTTTGCTATATACAGTTATGCTAATATCTTCACAGGCCCAATTATTCTTCCCCATATGCACCACCTGATGTGCCCATGACCCAGACACACTATGCTTTGATTTACTCATATGCAGCCAATACTCTCTGGCTTGCGTATGGAATTGCCCTTGGTATGACTCTTCTCAGTATCTTATTAGGAGTTACCTCTATATACCATAATAGTGGTTTCTCATACATGTCTAAATTTTCCACGATACTTCGAGTCGCCCACTGCATCGATCTGTCAGATGCCATACAACCTGAAGATAAGGATGGGAAAGATCCAACGCCACGATACATTAAGAATTTGACGGTTTCATTTCCGCCAACTGGAGATACAGTGCGTTATAGAAGAGCTAAGAAAGATTCTGAGGGAGAGCAACTGCGGCAGATGGAGGAGAATTAGACGCGGATGGCGAGTCTTATCATTTTATGTTGTCGTGATACTGAATAAAAAGCACTATATTTGCACTATATATTATAACTAGAATTAACGTTACTAGCTTAGTCCTGTTTATACTAAGAGCAGCTCGCCAAATTCTTGTGTTTGATGCCTCGCCCGTTTTTTCTTCTAGGTTCAAAATATGAAGTTCACGGTACTGCTCTCCAAGACCACCTACCTGTCCGATATTCTATTAGATCGGCTATGACTCAGAGCTACAAGATTCCAATAGCCACGTTATTTGTTGCGTGTATTTTATCATCATCCAGACATAGAAATATTGGAATACTATATTAAAGGCTGCCTGTCATAACCGTACTTTTGTGCCGATGCCAAATACACAGCGCAATCCCTTTGTCACTATTGCTCAAAAGTACGTCTATGTATCTCAGAGGCCTGGCAGTAGAATAGCTAAAACAAAGGATTTTATTGACAGCTAAGGAAAGCACCTTTAGACTGGACTGACAAACACTAAATAACACATAAGAAACCTAGCTTGCCTAACTGCCATAAAAACTACAACGCAAGAACAAGCTGCCGCATTACCCAGTAGATGTAATAGTGTCTGATTAATTGGTCTCAGTGCGGTAATATTCTAATGCCTCCAACATCGGCTTGTTATGGAATCTATATAGGTATATGCGACTATCTATATCGGCAGCGTGGTGATACTTATTCCATGCGGGTATACAGAATGTATCGCCTTGCTTCCAACGAAAGCGCTGTCCATTGATCTCGGTGTACCCGCTGCCCGAGAATACGTGGTATATCGACGAGGCAGTCTCACGAATGACAGGCGATGTGCAGCCTGCGTTCAGACGCTCAGCAGCGCCACCAAGAGTTCGTGATACTATCGAATATGTTAGGGAAACAACCTGGAGAGACTTTCACCTCTAATTTCATACCTGATGTACCGTCTGACTTGGTATAATTTTCCGATGACCAGTCGCCTTCGTTCTCATCCAACTTAGTTTGCATGGCTACCCAGGGGAAAACGAGGGGCGAAGACTTGGAATCGACTTCTTCGTACGGATATGCAGGAGACGGGTAATGCTCAACAAAATGCACCGGCATGAGTGTATAATTTGGCACATCAAGGCCGTCAAGCCAGACCATGGCTCCCGGCCCGTCTTTGCCCTGATCGTGCCAATGCCACGGAGGCGTAAGTACCAAGTCTCCCCGCTGCATGCGAAGACGTTTGCCTTCTACAGTAGTGAAGCCACCTTCGCCTTCAATGATGAAGCGCATGGCAAAGGCTGTGTGTCTGTGTGCGACGGTGACTTCATTCGGCATCACGATCTGGAGTCCCGCAGCCAACGTGTCGTTTGCAAATGGAGGCTCTGTGCATAACATTGTCCAGCGTCACTTCTTTTGAACCTCAAATTACATGCAATCACATAGCGTAACTACACACCTCGAGCTGGATTGATCAACATCAATGTTCGTCTTTCAGCCTCCTCTGGAGGAACCACCTGCCCCGCAAGTAGTAAAACAGGTTTGATTTGCTCGTACTGCCAGACCACTGGCACGCACGACGAATTCGGGACTCGTGGGTTAATCTTTGCCATTTCTGTCCATAGAGGCTTGGTATGTGCCTCTGAGGCCAGCTTGAACAGCTTCTGGCTGGCATCTGCCGCCACATTAGCCTGCTGGTTCGTCTTGAAAGAGATCATGATTGTATTCGTCGAGTCAGATAAGATGAATGCGATGTGATGAGAGATGACTAGGAGAGGTTGTCAATGGCGTTAAGTACATGATAACTATCAACGTCCATGGCCACATAGCAGAGATGTGGCAGGGGAATACATGTACGCTTTGCCGATACACACCCGACGGCACGTAAAAGCGGCAAAGACCTGAAGCAGCCGACAATGCCCCGTTATTCCAGCAGCCATGTACAGTCTTATTCCACCATGATCCTATATATATATATATTTATATACACCAGGCTCAAGTGAACATCCATCGTATATCCTATCATAGACGCCACAAGCCCTATAGCTTCATTAATTAACATTTCTTCTCCTCATTTATAGACATGGGTTCCATGGGAGCGAACAGCGGCTCGTCCGTATCCGCCTTTACTACATCGTCAACGATCCCTTTCTGGCTCAAAGGCAAGCAAGTGATATCCGCCGAGACATTCGATGTAATTTCTCCTCTTGATCAAAACCCCCTGTACAAATGCTCTTCTGCCTCTGAAGAGGATGTACTCAGAGCAGTCAATGCCGCGAAAGAGGCATACGTACCTTGGTCTCGAACCAAGCCAGACACTAGAAGAGACATCTTTCTTCGAGCCGCAGAACTATTTGAAAAAAGAAGAAAAGAGATGTTTCACTACAGCCACACCGAAACGGGCGCAGCACAGAACATCTTCGACATCGAGCATGGCTTTGCCGCCAATGGGTGCCGAAGTATTGCGGGCCTAATCCAGGTCGCGACTACATCGTCGATGCCCATCGTTGCCGAGGAGGGTCGCCATGCTATGTTGGTTAAAGAGCCTTATGGTGTTGTTTTGGCAATATCTCCTTGGAATATCCCCAACGTGTTGGGTCTACGTGCTTGTTTGCAGCCCCTAGCGATGTAAGTCATTCATTTTCCTTCATTATTGCTTTCATATTCTGACGTTGCAAAGGGGAAACACGGTGGTTCTGAAGGGCCCAGAAGCAGCCCCGGGAACTCTGTGGGCCATTGCGTCTATCCTTCACGAAGCCGGTCTTCCGGCAGGCTGCCTCAATACGCTGTACCATCGACCAGCTGACGCCGCCAAGATCACAAACATGTTGATTGCGCATCCGGCAATCAAGAAGATCAATTTCACCGGCTCAACGCCTGTGGGTGCCGTCATTGCCCAGCAAGCGGGTAAACACCTGAAGCCAACTGTCATGGAACTCGGTGGTAAAAACCCTGTGATAGTATGCGAGGATGCCGATGTCCAACAGGCTGCTCTCAAATGCGCAATGGGTGCCTTTTTGCATTCCGGCCAAATTTGCATGTCTACTGAGCGTATCATTGTCAACGCCAAGATTGCCGACACCTTCCGTTCAGCTCTTTGCGCTGCCATGCTCAAATTCTTTGCGGATCAAGGCACTGATGCGGCACAGCTCGTGAATACTACTGCTGTGGAGAAGAACCAATGGCTACTCAAAGATGCATTGACCAAGGGAGCCAATCTTGCCAACAACATTGCTCATGGTGTTGAATATGGTGGCACGCGAATGCAGCCAGTCGTAATAGAGCATGTCAAGCCTGGTATGGAAATCTACAACACTGAGTCATTTGGGCCGACGGTGTCTCTTTTTGTGGTCGACACTGATGAGGAGGCTGTCGCAATTGCAAATGGCACCCCCTATGGCTTATCCAGCGCTGTGTTCACAGAAGACCTCCGTCGTGGCTTCAATATTGCCCGTGCGATAGAGTCAGGTGCTGTACATATTAACTCCATGACTGTACATGATGAGCCAGCACTGCCTCATGGAGGAGTGAAGAGTAGTGGATGGGGACGGTTCAGTGGTTTGCAAGGGCTTGACGAGTGGGTTCAGACAAAGGTAGTGAGCTGGAGGGATTAAACATGCCCCGCATGAATGGAAATAGGTGGCACTTGCCGGTTGATTAGAGTCAAGATTGCAACGGTAGAAAGAAACCAAGAACCTATAGGAAAGACGAATTCAAGTGAAACGGCTGGAAATAACTGTCAATACATGTATACAACCGACAATATAATGATTTGTCTTTATGCTTCTAGCTTAGAATAAACTTGGTTAGTCTGGGGTAGGACCAACAAGACCTTGAAAAGTATACCGACGCACTCAGTCCAAGAATTAAGTCGCCGAACCTTCTCCTGCCTGAAATAGGTCAGTATAGAGATCAGAATTGATCCACTCTTGAGATGTCCGGAGCTCAAACATTTCCAAAGGATTAGGGGAACAGCTGGTTACAGCCAGAAGTTCATTGTTATCAAGTTGAGCATCCCAATTGTATATATCGGGCTGACTGTTACCGACTTGGGACTCTTGGCCGAGTGATATGGCTGAAAGAGGAACAGAGTAGCGGTCTGCATTTTCTCGGATAAGCCTGCTGCTGATTTCTAGGTGTTTTTGCAGCATTCTATTAACCCTGCTTCCTTGTTTAGTGTCCTCTCCGACCCGCTGCAAAGACTCAGCAGCGCGCTGGAGATGGCCAAATAAATTCACAATCTTGTTAGAGCGGGAGGTATCAGTGGTCGTGCTGGCTTGTTCAGAGCTGGACCTGGTGGTCGGACTAGTGATTTCTAGGAGTATGCAGCTGAATATGACTACCGCAGCATTGAATGCTTTGAGGCGTTAAGCAATTGCATATACAATGCCATGCGTGAAGGAATGGATGTCTTACTGTAGTATATAGTAAACCACCACGTTTTCAGCGCGAGATATGAATCGCGCGTCTTATAGACGATATCGATAATATCGATAGCTGACTGCTGACAGCTCTCAATGCTGAGTTCTGCAACATGCCGGGAGAACGGTGGATCCCTTTCAAGGTTTCTATCGGAATACGAAGTATGGCAATGATGTAGAACACTGCTCAAAACAGGGCGATGAAGAAGGATGCGGACGTTGAGATACCTCAACATCATGATAGTACTAAGCTTATCAAAGATAGCCTCAGAATCATGTTCCGTAGAATCATTATTGCCCCATGGTCTCCGTTGCAGCTGTCTGTACAGCTTTTCTCGCCACTCGTTCAATCTTTGCTCTATCGGCATGATATAAGTGAATGCCGCAGATAAGTCAAGCGAGAAGTTTTGATCGAGGTTTGAGCCATATAAATCAGCGATGATGGTTTGAAGAATTTCGTATAATCGTCTGCAACGGCCATGTCAATAACTATGAGAAACTGGCGCTGCTCTGACATACATTGTTGCAGTGAACAAGCAGACGGTATGACAAGAATGCGATCCGTTCCTTGGCTTTCTCAAGGCGCTTGGACCGTGTATCGTATTAGTATCAGGGAGATCTATACTGATGTAGCTAGATGGGATTATTAACGGTCGTCCCAGCGTCATACTAAACAACCTAGACTCTTGCCGTTAGACATTCAATGTTATGACGTTACGAAAGATAGCTCTTCTGACCTGTCCAGTACGACACAGCCGAGCCAAGTTCTTCTCCTTCTTTCGGCTTCCGACGCGCTGAACTCATAGCACAAGGATCGCGAGTGTAGCCCAAGCTGGTATGCTGTTTGCACTGCTTGTCCGTGGAGGTTCCATGCTTCATCCGGTCTATTCGTACCCTGGTAATAGTGCGCCATCAAGAGGAGATACTGCACTGTGCCTGGTGAGCATCTATTCCGCTTCGAGGGCAGGACTGTCAACCAGCGCTTGGGCGCAAGCCTTCACTATATATTACACTCACCAGTTTCCAGCTGGGCCGTATTTGATTCAGTGCAGGCCCATATGGCCCGTGCCTTCTCGCAGTACGCCTCGGAATCTTCTGCATTCTTGATCGGGGATCGATCAGGTTTCGCGCTGATGTATGTTGCAATAGCAAAGATTGAGTTAAGAAGACAGACGCAGGACCAGTTTGTAAGTCTATCATCCACATTTATTACTGAATAGTAGGCTTGAAGGATGGTTTCTTCATCTGTGATTGGAAAGATCATCCCGGTATCAGAGAAGAACAGTTTGATGAGGCGTAAAGTGATTGTCTCCTCTGGCAGATCGTAGAGATCGGCAGTTTGTAGAGACTTGGGCCGGCGACCCGATGGGATATTCATCGCATGTGATCCTTCCACTATCGTTGCTTCGATCGCGTCGGTCGTTGATTCTCTCACCTGTACATTGGCGTTCAAAATTGCTGCAGACGCATCCGAAACTTGTCGAAGGAATTCTATGTTTGAAGACGGCCCGAAAAATTTGCTCGTCACTGTCTTCGGTCCCATGAGGGTAGCCATGCCGTCCACTGAATCCGCATCGTTTCGCGGTATGACATGATTCATATCCATAGCATTCTTACTATGGATCTGATTCTGGGTATCAACTTCAACATGCTGGATTGAAAGACTCGATCGTTCAATAGAATCGGCCGTCTGATGGCTTCGTTGGAAGAGAATATGTAGCATCTCTTCAATTTTAGAGAGCCTGTCATTGTCATTGCTCCTTGGCTGCGGGTGCGCTCCTCTAAAGTTGCTTGTTGAAGGCTGCTCGTAGAAGCAATCGAACCCAAGATGAACGCATAGACTGCATGACGGTCGGGCCCCATCACAGCGAGACTTTCGACCTCTACAAGATGTACAGGCGACCGCTACGCGTCTCCGTTTGTAAGAGGGCATAGAGCCTGCGTCATGGTCATTAAGACTCTGCGATTCCGCCATTGTTATTTAGACATGAAAGGATGTTGGTCGCGTTCGAATTGTAACCAGGTTCTATGAATCAGGGCATTAATAGAGAAAATATTGTTGGATAATGTTCCATGGCTCCTTTGGGAAGGTGGCCATAACAGGCCGGACAAGAACGGAGAAAGAGGCGCAGTTTATGGTGGCTTTTACACTATGGGGGGACGGGCCATGGACTTGTGAATGTGAAAGTGTTTATAGTAAGCATGGAGTATAATATGCAGTGGTAATGTATTTGTATGTGCTAGCAGCTCATCCTGTCTTACTACTCTTGTATTTGTGTCACTTGCGGGGAAGGAGAGAGACTTGTGTAATAGAGAATATTAACATTACTAGCAATATTTAGGCTAGAGGCGGCTAACCTCGCAATCTTTAATACATCACGAAACTAACATGAACTGGTTATTGGCACAGCGCACGTGTATGGTATTTAACTCACGGTCGGCCTGTAACGGTGGGCAAAATTAAAGTGACTCTCTGTACCAATATAAATATGTGGAGATAAGACGTAATGTGACATAAATCCGACAACTGTCATCTTCGCCCTTGTACTTTGTCGGGCCGTCGGGTGGCTTCCCGTTGGAGTTCGGAATAGGAGTACAGCCTAGAGCTTCGGCATCAGTGACTCCGTCGGGTTCATCGGGAGAGATTTCCGGCTCCGACATCTATTTGATAGTGGAGTTTGGCGCATTCGCTATGTAATTCATCATGATATGATGATACGCGAGGCAGAATTAATACCGTACATAATCATCTACACGTGTGGCACTCTTCGGCTGCTTTCACATATGACCACCCAAGTTCTTATTATTGATACATCCTGACTCACTGATATGGAGCGAAATTGGACTCACTTGATTCGATTTATTGCCGAAGAGGATAATCAGGTCCACCTGGGCCAGATTGATCCTTCAATAGACATTGGACTCGATATCGAGGCGGGTAAACTAGTAAAGGCAAGCCTTGTCATTGGCAGCGCGTTTGACGGGAAAGTATCCGATAAGATCTTGACGGTTAAGCAGGTAAAGTGCTACATAACCATGGCTCATAATGTATAATGACATAGTTTCTCATTTGGTACAGCTCCTTTGCCCTCTAGCCCAGCACGAAGTACCAATAGTTCGCTGCCTTGGCCTTAACTACCGTGATCATGCGGCGGAAGCAAACATTCCCGTTCCCAATGAACCTGTCCTATTCATTAAACCCCGGACGTCTATCAGCTCGCCATATCCCGCAACGATTAACGTGCCGTTGATTGCTCAGGATGGCACAAGCGACTACGAAGCGGAACTTGCCTTTATCATTTCGAAAGATGGGCGCGATATTCCAGAAGAGAAAGCACAGGAATATGTTCTCGGTTATACCTGTAGTAATGATATTTCTTGCAGGAGTCAACAGTTCAAAAACAGTCAGTGGTCATTCTCTAAAGGGTTTGATGGCTCAGCGCCAATTGGCCCTGTACTCGTCAGGCCAAACGTGATCGGGGATCCTCCGATATTAGACATTCAAGGGATTCACAACGGTATTATTGTGCAGAGTTCCAACACCAAGTAAGCCAGGCAGAATGTTAGCCATGCATTAACAAAAGCTAACTTATTCCAGGGAACTCATTTTTGGTATAAACAAGACCATTTCGTTTCTTTCACAAGGCACAACGCTTGAGCGAGGCACTGTCATCATGACGGGTACGGGACCTGGGATAGGAGGTCTTAGGAGCCCCAAGATAGTCTTGCAGCATGGAGACGATATGAGAGTGCATATTGAGAAAATTGGGACACTGATCAACAAAGTGTACTATGAGTAGACGCAATGTTCGACGAAAGCAAAGAGCAGCTGCCTTCCATGCTGATAGCCTAGAAGAAGAGTTGAAAGTTGTTGAAAAAGGCTGTAGTAACAAAGCACTTGATTTAGCTGCCCCATTTCGGGAGTCAAGTTCAGAACTGGTCCGAAAAAGCCAATACCACGCGTCATCTACATCAAGTGAACATCCGATCGTGCTCACTCGTGGGCGTTAGTTAGTTTCGAATTTCATTCCCAATCTCTACAAGCGAAACCTTGTATTTTCCAGCCAAACTTCTCTTCTACGTACTACTGCGATCTCCTCCCCTCTCCTATCCTCTGCATTGTTGACAAACTTTTAATTCCTTGCCAAGGACTTCGCATCTATCGGCACCCGTGGGCTCCACACTCTTTAACTCTCATGTATATTATTATCTCCCTGCCGAGGGATTTGAGGTCCTTTTTGTTTTGCGGTGCACTTTATAACTTATATATCCCTGCATCGGTGTGTACTGTTACTGCTTATTTCCGGGGCGCTGTTTCAATATGTTTATTGTTTGATTAGCACCTCTTTTTTTTTTTTTTTTTTAACGTTCTTACGGCGCATTTGTACAAGGTGTGAGCTGATATTATTTACTGGTTGGTAAGACTCTATGATTGATCACTATTATACATATATGTTTATTTACTACGAAAGAATTCGCTTCTTTGGGTTATAAAATGGAAATTAGTAAATACTGTCTATATCCTTTAATTTTTTCCTGCTGGCCTTATCAATCGCAGGAAACTCTTTGTTTGCAGCCCTTCAGCGGCAACATCCCCGTACCCTAGTCTCTTTCAGGCACAGATGCAGGGGATGTGGTGGATTCAGCCGGCCCGGGAATTTCAGGTGAAGGGGCGCCACATGGTCACAGATATATTATAATAGAATAAAGGGGTCGTATACCGAGAACAAAATCCTTACGGCAAACGCAAACGATCCTTTACAAATTACCGTTGCCCCTTATAGTTGTTTATAAAAGACCCTAGAGTAACCAATGATAGCAATCCTCCGAAATATATCTGTTTATATAACTTACAAAGCCGCCTTGAGTTAACATTTCTTTACACAACTGCTGCAGATTGGCAATCTATTTCATTTCTTCTGCATCGTGATCTAATACTACTGCAAACATGAAGACCTCTCTCTTTATTGGCTCTGCCGTCTTAGGCGCTGCTTCTGCATACAAAGCTACTACTACTGTAAGCATATATGTAGTTCAATGAGGCCTACTTGACCGTGGCTAACCGGAAGTCCAGCACTATTACGATGGGCAGGAGGGTGCTTGCGGATGCGGCTCAAGCTCTGGTGGATTCCCATGGCAGGTAAGACTCAAAGCTTGTCCAGACTATGAGCAGTAATTGATGGACGTCTTTTCTTTAGCTTGGTATTGGTAACGGAGTTTATACCGCCGCTGGTTCTCAGGCCTTTTTCGATACGGCCGGTGCGTCGTGGTGCGGCGCGGGCTGCGGTAAATGCTATAAACTGACCTCGACGGGAGAGGCACCTTGCTCTACTTGTGGCACAGGTGGTGTTGCTGGCCAGAGCATTATTGTAATGGTCACAAACCTGTGCCCCTATAATGGAAATCAGCAGTGGTGCCCGAATGTCGGTGATACTAACCAGTATGGTTACAGCTACCACTTTGACATTATGGCACAGAATCAGGTGTTTGGAGATAATGTGGTTGTTGATTTTGAGCCTATTGCCTGCCCGGGCCAGGCTGTTGCTGATTGGGGAACTTGCGAATGCAATGGAATACAAGAGACCGACACCACGCCCGTCCTAGGTGATGACACTAGCCTGCCTCCTCCCGCCAGTTCGAGCTCAAAGCCGGCGGCACCATCGACAAAGGCAGCGGCATCGTCTGCAAAGCCAGTGACATCGTCGACAAAGCCGGCGGCATCATCGACACCACCATCTACCGGTGGACAACAACAAACTCTCTACGGCCAGTGTGGAGGCATTGGCTGGACAGGTCCCTCAGTTTGCCAGCCTCCGGCCACCTGCAAGTCACAAAACCAGTGGTACTCTCAGTGCCTTAACTAAGTCACTTGGAAATAGTCATGTGCTTGTTTCTGGTAATAACTCCAGTATTCTTCTGGCTTCAACTTGACCTGTCTATGATTGATTCGTTCTTGTATATATAGATTTTACGTTGGCGCAGAGCGCCCGTGTACTAGATTTCTACTTCAGTTGCTCTTGAGAATAGAACTTTGTGGCTCTAAATCTAAGTCTTTCAAATCCATAGTTAGTCCTGAACTTCGGCAAAGAGTCTAACGGGCCCCCGAATTTTCCACTACCCATAGTCGTGCGTTAGTATGGGAGTGTAAGGTATAGCGGCTTCAGCTATTTTACTGGGTGGTATTGTAGTGTTAGATCTTTAGATTCTCTGTAACAGGAAGCAGAGGGGTTGACAATCGAGTCAATAGATAAAAAAGATTCGTTAATGCGAGCAGTCTATGCTAGCACTACCCTTTACAACAGCTTGTAACAGAATCCTTTCACATTAAATGCTTAAATGAGATTCCCAATGTTGTAAAGTTCCTAATAGTATAAGATGTAGATGTAGTCCCCGGGAGGTCAAACTTAGATAGAATTGAGGTTAATACAACATCAAGTCATAGGGTAAGCTTAAGCCCTATAGGGCTTAATCTAATCATTGCGGCTGTGCCATCATGGTACGAACACATACAGTCTTTTCACACCAACACAGACATAATTGAAGCCCCCCAAAGACCCAGTGTAGTCAAATGGCAGGTAATAATATTACATCTTCTCGGCAGGTGAGACTTTTCAACATTCAGTTGCTTGATCATTGCGTGAATAAGCGACCGTCCTTGGCTTGACGAGAAAGGTCTCGTGGGGACTAACCACAGACGGCGATCCAAACGTGTGTCCAGGCCAAGAGCTCATCAGCCATGATTATCGTACAAACAAGTCCAGTCCAATCAACACATACGAGTTCAACCCCAAGACCCGCTTTGAGACGGCAGAACAAATAGTGTAGTTTTCGGCGGCTAATATGCAAGGAACAGCCGGCCATGATTTACCTCCCGCCCCATCCCTGCACCTGTTTAGGCGTCAAGTTGAAAAGTAGCGAGCTGAGGCATCCGCCATCGCTACTATTGCTGCAACCGGACATACCCGTGATGGTTCCCGAGGTGTTTAGATTAGGTATTAGCGTCCGCGCTGCCTTGTTCAAGATCGTGTGTATAAAACAACATCTCAGGACTAACCAGTCCTGGCGAGTGACTCGCATTGTGCGCCTTGTGATGAGCCCGTTTATTGACGGTGATGCCGTGCTTCTTGTGCGCATCGCCGAATCAAATACCTCATAGGCTTAACGACCTTCACCAGGGCATCTCATTTACCGGTCTCGGATGCCACCCCAGATTACTTGAGCCGTCCCGAGAAGGTGGGGGCGTGAACCATCCCGACAAGGTGGCAGCCTGAGCAACCTCTATTAACAAACAATATCCTCAATCGGGATACTGTTGCGGCCTTTTGATGGGCATTGTCAAGCCCGAGCTCGTCTAGAGCTTGTAGAATTCGTAAGCGATTCACCTTCATTATCGCGGCTTGCCAATAGTCCACCATCATGGCTTTGAGCGTGTCATTTGACACAGGTAGACAGGATCCAAGCAAGGCAGAGAACATGTGCCCCCAACTCACCTTTTCCTGTGATTTTGTCTAGTTCTAATGTCAATCACATTGTATCTTGTTATACCTTACCCGGACGAGCTTCCATTATCAGCTCGAGAAAGGAAATGACTATTGGCAATATTCAGCCACCATGGACCCCAACCTTCACGATCAAGACTTGAACTGATCACAGTTCCGTGATGTGATTTGGAGTTTTTAGCAGTTCGCGGAGGCCAGCGTCGAGCGGATGGCTATGTTATGTTATGAACCAAGCGGCTCTATAAGAATGTCGTCGACATCCAACCCAGACCAGGAGTCGAACTTTGCATCAGCAACTTCTCAGTTCTTTATCTTTTTATAACAGCCCCTGTACTATTAGCTTTTCTCCTCACCTCCAACGCACTTTCAACTTTATCATCTTTCGCAATGGGGGACACGAACACACAGGCAGCAGCTGTGCTCAGCTCGATGAAGAATGCTTCCGAGGTTAGTCTTGTCCCACAATCGAGATGAACGCAATGCTGATTTCCCAATTGACTGTCCGTTCTGCCATTGCCGCTGCCATTCCCGTGGCCAACAACCAAGTCTTCACTGTTTCACTGCCTGGAACCATTATTGATTGGAAGTAAGTCGCATCATGGCATTTTCTGAAGAGCTTTCGCTATCTGGAGCCACACTAACACACCGGCTCAATGGTCAGGGATTACTACTATAACTCTTCCAAGCTCATCAGGCCACCACTGGATATTCAGGTCAAGGAGGCTAGGCTCGTTGATGGAATGATCCCATTATCGAAGTTTACCGCCAGTCCAGACATCCCGGCGTATTGACTTTGTGAATGTGATCGCTAACGATGGAGACGATACAGGCCGGAAAGACTGGAAAGAGTGTTGCTCGAAGCTACCTCGCCGCACTAGATTTGCTGGTGCCTGTGGAGGCCTCGGTCTCTGGCGTGATCGGCAATGATACCTCAGTGGTCAAAGATGAGCGCCTGAAGACCATCCGTGACCGCTACAAGCTGTCCATGGCGTATTTTACCTCCCCAGATGACACCCCTGGCAGTAATGGCAAGTCAAAGGTCGATACGTATGTACAGAAGCAATCTATGTGGGCTAAGGAGGTGGCTGCGTATGCCCAGGCTCAAGCTCAAGCCATGGAGAGGAGCCAGCCGCCACCTGGGGCCACCACTGCGCAGGTTCGAGAGGCCAAGGAGAAGTACATGCAGTGGATCCAGGAGCATGCCCGGGAGGTGAGTGCTATATAGCTAAGCAGAAGAGTATAATACTGATGCGTGTTGAAAAGTTCAAAAACAATATCTAGACCAAGTATATGGACTGGGTGGTGCACGGCTACAAATTCATGGTGAGCCACCCTAGTTTGCAGAGTCGCCTACGTTTTGAGAACTTACATTTTGCGAGGTTGATTTCCACTTTGGAGTTGTCGACATCTCCTCGGGCATGAAGCGTATTGAGAACAGCAAGGAAGCGTACCGAAACCTGACAGTCATTGCTCCTGATGGCTCAAGCGAGTACAATGGAGTTGTGCTCAGCCCGAGTAGCTGGTAAGTGTAATCTACCATGACTCTCTATGGAGCAGCTAATGCTCACTGTTAAACCTAGGGCAACCATCGTGGCCAAGAAAGTCCTAAACTGGAAAAAGAACAACTCGGGGCCATCTCCCGCCGAGGTCCGCGCCGAGATTCGCCGTCTTCAGAACCTCTTGGTGTCTCACAAAACCCTACAAAAGGTAAGATCCATTGTAAAACAGCGGCTGCCTATTATACTCGATGTGATCCGAGCTGATCTTATCAGGCCGTTGACGGCGGTGTATTCTTCCCTGTTCTGGCGAGCAACAAGGACGCAGATCAGAGCGAGCTTCAAACTGCTTACACGGCGGTCTATGCTAACATGGATGAAGAGAACAAGAAACTATTTGAAAAGGAAGGCGCGCCGCCTGCTGAGGCTGACCCCAACGCTGCCAAGGGAGATTCCCCTCTGTCGGTACTCGAGAAAGCGCAGAAGGACTACACTGAGAAGAGCCTTAGCCGCACCACTGCGACTGTGCGTGACATCGAGGGCTCGAACAAGGATAATGTTAAAGGTTGGCTAGACGCCAGGATCGGGCAGCTGGAGGCGGATATCTCCGATCTCAAAGAGCAGCTCGGCATTGCAAAGGCCGCCGAGCAGGCTCCGGCTAAGCTTCTTCCCTTGCCTGTTGTGAACGAAAATGGCATTGTCATAACAGACGAAGAAGCCAGAGCCGACCCAAGTAATTCATCTTCCTCCCCCTTTTCTCGTGGTGCGACTCTGGATTCGTCGACCAGAGGGCTAACGCAGTTCTTAGGCATCAAGAACCCGAGCAAACCAGACATTGAAGACTTGGACAACGAGGAGTCCTGGCGTAACAAGACCGACGATGGGCCAGACCCCTGGACAAAGGTAAAGTTTCAACGACTGAATAGAGCTCATAAATTGCTCCGGACTCAAAGGAACTGACCTGTACTAGATCTCGTGCAAGATTTCCGCCAAGTCCGATACTAAAGTCACTGCTACGTCGCAATCCGCCTCTGCAGTCGCAGCCAAGGCAGGTTGGGGATTTTTCAGCGCTTCCGGCAGCGCGAGTCACTCTGATAGCAGCTCGTGAGTCTATCATTTCCAAATGTGCCGCCGAGCAATTGCCATACTAAGTAATTCCCAGTGATGCAATGCAGCAAATGTCCAACCTCGACGTTGAGATCAGCATGAGCTGCATGGTCGTGGAGATTGAACGCCCTTGGCTCCACGCAGAGCTTTTCGCCGATGCCGAGCTTGACTCTGGAAGGTAAGTCTTCAATCACTTCCTACACCACGGTTGTGGTCCACGAACTCTTCTGACTCCGTAAACCCTTTACAGCTTCGAAATCTCGCCCGGTGAAGATGCACTCAAGGCGGCATTTCAAAATGAGAAGAATCTTGAAGGCAAGTACCAGCAGTTCTCCTCATTTCCAACTGCATTTGTTGTCGCTGCCGATGTAGAGCTCAGTGTAAGTCGCCCTCCAGCCTGCACCTTTTCAGACTTCAATCTAACCAGTCTTCTCTAGTTCTCTGGAGACACAACTAAACTCGAAAGCGCTGTCTCTGCATCGTCCACATCGGCCAACATTTCCGTCGGGTACGGCCCCTTTGCACTCTCTGGGTCCCACAGCTCTTCCAAGTCCAAGTCCCGAACCAAGATGGACTCCACTGCGACTGGCTGCAAGTAAGTATTCTCTTTTCCATGCCATTCCCCGTTGAAAATAGTGAAGTTACTGACATCTTGAAGGATCTCTGTCCAGGCTCCGCAGATTGTTGGCTGGATTCAGACTCTCCTACCTCAGCTGCCTAAGCCGAAGGATGGGATCAGCACCATGAAAGGTCTTTTCGCCTAGGTGACGCCACATATACTTCGACAGCTATAGTAATCTGACCTATAACCTATTGTTGCCTCCAAAAAGTACATGTATGCCCTATGGATTGTCATAATTGGTAGTCGAGCATATATTAGGCCTATATACGTTGTTCATGTGGAATGTTTCAGTTCTCGCTCTTCATTTCTTTCAATGGCTCCTTTCTATTAATAACTATCTTGCATCCGTGAAGGCTTCTCAATGAATCTTTATATGGCTTCGAAGAATCGCGACATTATATTGAGTAAAGATGATATTGTCGAAAGTGAGGTTGTTGAAGCCCGAAGATGGAGGCCTATCAACAGGGAACAATAAGTGACGAGAGAAAGCGAATCAGAGTAGGACAAAGTGTGGGGCTTGAGCTGTCTTGGTGTTAAATAGCTGAAGGAGTCTGATTTATAATCCAACTCTTGCCTGGCAATGATGAGAGGGCGGATGAACGATCAAGACTCTGGAACTGGTCAAATGCCTTTTTGCGAGGTTTAATTTCCTCATGTACTTGCACGTCGCTTAGGCAGCAAATCAGTTGCTTCTTCGAGTTCTCACCTTACACCCTTCCAATCCGAGTTATGGACTCACACGCGGGTTTCGCGGCCCAGCCAACTTCCAGTGCAGAGGGGCGGCCAGTCATCGTTCGCGTGAGTTGAACCAAATACTCGTACTCAATACCGTTCCGCATCTGTTGACACTCAATGTAAGGCTTGCGACATGTGCCGGAAGAAAAAGATTCGCTGCGAGCCTACTGCCCAAGGATGCAGCCCATGCACCAAATATGGCACAGTGTGTCATTTTACGCCAATTGCAATGAAGAGGAAGCCTCGCAGACCAGCTGGGTCAGTATGCTTCTCTAGCCTACGAAGTTTGCCTTTATTAAGTGTTCTGCAGCTTCAAATACATCGCACAGCTCGAGAAAAGACTCTTGGGAGTAGAGGCTTTGCTAGGAGAAAGGTCATTGGGAAAGCCAACTGTGCCTAACATCATTTCGCATGAAGACCAGACGACAGCCGCAACATTACCTGACACAGCAGCACTGATCAAATCTCACAATGGAAGTAATTCATGGATGCCAGAGAATGAGCTACAAGTTCCCTCATTCGAACATACGAACAATCCAGTAGAGTTTCGCCATGGAGCTACATTTCGAGTACCCGACCTCAATGAAGCCGATTGGTCTACTCTTGGGAGTTATGTAACTGACCGTTTGTGGCCTCATTCCGCTCCAGAATCACGCCCAGTTTCTCTACCAGCGCGCCAGCAGCTACCCACAAAAGCAGTCGCTGAGGAGTTGGTTGAGGAAACTTTCAGCAACTATAATAGATTCCTTCCACTTTTTCACGAAGAGGACTTCTTGAAAGAGTTTCACCTCAAGTACTCGACTTCCAGTCCTAGGGATGCTGGTTGGTGGGCATGCCTCAATGTTGTGCTGTCAATAGCTCATCGTCTCCGCGCCATACGCACATTAGAGCCGACACAGGAGCACATTCTAGCTTATGGTTATGCACAAAACGCCCTAAGCGTCGTATCCGAGCTGAATGTCTCTGACCGAAGTCTCTCTGCTGTCCAGGCTCTGGCGGGTATGGCCTGCCTTCTTCAGGGCACACCGGATCCGGAGCCAGCCGCAATGCTCGTGGCCGCAGCTCTACGCTTGGCACAGCTTATGAATCTGCACAGAGAATGTTCCAGTCCAGGAGTCACGGAATCAGAAGCCGAGAAACGGCGGCGGGTGTTCTGGAAGGTGTACATTCTTGACAAGGATATTAGTCTACGGACGGGTCGACCCTTTGGCCAAGATGATGATGACATGGATGTACACTTGCCATCAAAAGCAAGTCCTGAGTCCGGTAACTTGGACCTGTTCAACTGTCGCATAGGCCTTGCACTTGTTCAGGGGCAAGTGTATAAACAATTGTACTCAGTACGGGTTGGACGACAAACAGCGGCGCAGAGAGCGATTGCGGCACAAGAGTTGAGTTCCTTATTATCGTACTGGAAGTCCAGTGCGCAGCTGGAAATACCAGAAGACCTCACGGTATCGTCAGGTTTCCAACTTTCAGGTGAGATGATACACAAGGTGGTTTTACGACTCACCTATCTTCATTGCCTCACAATGATTGATCGCCACTTGCCCCCTATGGCGCAATCTTCCTCCAACCAAGAGCTCAGGCGGTCCGAACCATTACCACCCCCAGGTAGCCTATGCGTCGCTGAGGCACGCGAGGCGATCCGTCTTATTGAAGCCATCCCTCAAGGTGACTGTGCCTGTGTCTGGTAAGTGATCTCTAGAGAAGCAGAACCTTCCTGAATCTTTATCTGACTCACTCCAGGATGCTTCTTCACGCTTTCTTCGCTGCAGCTAGTAGCATGCTCTATAATTTAACACAAAATCCTATATCGCCAAACGCAGTTTCAGATCTCAATCTCGTTGAGCCATTTCTACGTCTGTTGGAGACACTTACCAGGGATCCAAACACGATCTCGCAGTCCAAGGACCTGGTGCAAATGCATCGCACTTGCAACAGCTTAAACCTCAAAGCCAAAAAGGCTGTTCAACATTTCAGTTCAAAGTCTCTGGCGTCCTTTGCATAATCATCTGAGCATAACCAGTCTTTATTAAAACTTTATTAATAACAACCTATCTCACCTACAGCAGCAAACTCTGTGACGCAGTGGCTAAGCGTCTGACAGGCTTGCTGGGCGCTCATCGCATAAGGCAGTCTGGTTGAACCCGGCAGGGTAGCTAACCTTTCCATGAGACACACAACCAATAAGCAAGCCTCGGCTTGTGAAGACACAACGCCTAGGCCTTTCTAGACCCTACATTATTAATATCTGTTCTGGCTGGAGAGAATCCAATTTTCCCTTGTCGTGAGAAATATAGCTGACAGAGATTAATACCTTTAAGCCAGCTCTGACTGACATATTGTTCAACCATGGGACGTATGTATTTAGGTAACTAGATAGGTATGTAGGGATATAAATGGCGCACAAGATTTAGTAAGAGGCGCACAAGTCGGGAGTATCTATTCAACATCCTACTTGAACATAAAATATCTTCATCTCCAACCACCCTCGTAGTAGCAATTCGCCTGTTTAAGAGGGAGGCCCGTTCCCTCCTGTCACACTCTATTTGGCTTCTTGGAGCTTCAGAAGCTTCTTCACACTCGGTCGCGCGAGCATGTTGTCAAGCCACTTCTTGACATGCGGGTAGTCATCCTGGTTGAACTCCTCATTCGGAATTCGCGGCTCGGCTGTGTTCTGCCACGTGAAGAAGGCGATGTCCACGTAGGAGAGGCGCCCACCTAAGAACCAGGAGTTGCCGTCCGCGTCAGGCTTTTGCTTTGCCAGGTGTCCCTCCAGTACTCCAGTCACGCGATTAACCTCTTTGACGTAGCGTTCGCGTGCTTCGGGAAGTGGCTGATATATAATAAACCACATCGCCTGCCCGTAGTACGGTCCCTGGCCAGTGGTCTGGAAGTAAAGCCATTGACGAGCATGGTACGCCTCAGCTGTGCCTGGCACGAAGCTGAGCTTGTAGTCGGTATCATATTTCTCTGTCAAGTACTCGATAATAGCGCCCGATTCCCACAGCGTGAGGTCTGTATTTGGGTCCTGGATAGACGGCAGTCGCCCATTTGGGTTGATGGCGACGTAGTTGGGATTCTTGACATCGTTAAGTGGGATGACTTCGGTCTCATATGGCAGACCTAGCTCCTCACAGAGGAGAATAACTTTGCCAGCGTTGGGCCCGTGAATTCCAAGTACTTTGATCGGCTCCATTTCACCCGTTTAGATGAAGATGTATCAAGATATACGAAGATAGATTGTAGGATCGAGAGCCTGCAAATTGATTCAGGTGTTGACTGATGATGAAAGATCCAGTAGATAATACAGCGCAACAAGGGCTCGGAGTCATGGACTTTCGGTCTCCTTTTAAATACATCGCCTCTCCCTGCCTGCCTTGAGAGTTCTACTTGATTCAACATTCATCATGAAGGAGTAGCAAGCTGACAAATGTTGACAATACGACACAACATTCCTACTCAATTTAATACACCCAAGTAACAAAGGGAAAGCGAATATACAAGCTTATGCAACTACAAGGGACTAAAGTCAGCCGGAGCGGAGGACTCGCAGATAAACCAGAGCCCTCTTGATAGGTAATCCACGGGAACATGCCCCGCTTCTAAATTTCCTTACGCAGGATGGAACGAGCCACTTCGTGCAGGTTCAAAGACAATGACAATATTTGACGTACAAGTAAATAATTAGTAATAGCATGGAATGATAGGAGTTTGAGGCAGCAAATGGATATCACCGCCGCTCAAAGAAGTAACTGCGACATTGGTAAGGAACGGAATTGAACATTATGTAATCGAGTTCGGACCTTCCGAAGGCTCCGGGTCCGGGGCCGGGGGACCGGCGAGAATCCACTCATTAGCCAAAATGGGCATACAGGCTTGGTCCAGCTCCGTGATGGCTTCCGTTACAAACAGTACAAGCAGAAACCTCACCGTCTCGGATCACTGCCTGTGCCTTTCTTTGCCTCAATGCGAAGATATGGAAGCATATATAAAGCAGATAAAGGCACCTCGCTTTCTTGCTCGACTGCACACGGTCCGGCCTCTCCCATTCATTCCCAACTATGCCCGGAATATCTCCTGTCGTTCTCATCCTCGGTGCAGGACCTAAAGTCGGTCTCCCAACGGCGAAGGCTTTTGCCTCAAAAGGCTACAAGGTTGCAATTGCAGCCCGGTCACTGAACGAGGCAGACAGCACAGACAGTCAGCTTAACATCAAAAGCGACTTCGCCAACCCCGACGATGTTGTCAATGCCTTTGTAAAGGTTAAGAGTGAGCTGGGAATCCCGAGCGTAGTGATTTACAACGGTATGCCTTAGCACCAGAAATTCTAACTGAATACCTGCTAAACGTTCGTAGCCGGCGCCGCGACCTTCTCTTCCCCAGGCGACCCATTTGGGATCCCGTTGGACGCTTTCAAGCGAGACATGACTGTCAACAATACCAGTGTTTTTGTCGCCGCGCAGCAGGCCGTGCTCGGCTTCGCGGAGCTCCCTGCCAATGCGCCAAAGGTATTCGCATTTACGGGCAACATACTAAACGTCAAGCCGCTCCCGCAGTTCCTGGAATCCGGTGCTGGCAAGTCAGCATCTGCACACATGATGATGGCTGCCGCTGCTGAATACAAAGATAAAGGGTTCAAGTATGTAATCCCTAACGTCATTTAACAGCCTGAATGAATGTGATTGACAGTTGCATAGGTTTTACTATGTCGATGAACGAAAGGCAGATGGTTCAGCCGCTTTTAAGATTGATGGAGAGGCACATGCAAAGCTCTTCTGCGAGCTTGCAGAGGCGAAGACGCAAGGTCCTTGGTTGCAGACCTTCGTCAAGGGCACGGGATATGAAGACTTTGGGCCCTATCGACTATAGTGTTGTCGCAGGAGCCACTCAGTATACAAGATATTATATGGGGGAGCTGATTCTAGCACGGTAAATACACAGAGTCGCATGCCATTCATGTACAGCAGTCAACATAGCAACATGGTCGCTATAGAGCTTTTACTAGATAAAGGGTCCGATGTAAATGCAATAGATGAATGTGAATGGACACCTTTGCTTTACGCCATCATATACAGCATGTCGAATGTCATCAAGTTGTTGATCGATAGAGGGGCAGGCGTCAACGCGAGGAACAGAAACGGCTGGACGCCTTTGTTAGCCGCCGTCCACTTTGGCCGTCATAAAGCAGTGAAGTTGCTTCTTGATACGGGCAACATCTACATTGATGAAAAAGATGTGAATCGCGAGACTGTACGGTCACTGGCTGTGAAGAAGAGGCGTAACAGCATCATACAGCGTCTAGATCAATCGGCGAACGCCAATAGCCGAAAGGAGCCTGACGCATTTGTGGTGAGAGTGCAAGAAGGAGGGCAATCCTACTTTAAGAATGACTTGCCAATACGGAGAGCAAGAAACTGATGATATAGTCTACGTAACCAGTCACTTTATAGTTCAGTCGCCTCTATACCTATTGTATGGCTTACTACAGACCTCTTCGTTGGCTCTAAAGACTTTCCATTTAATATGAAGCTCATATCTACTCAAGCTGCCTTTTCATGGATAACTACATTGGTATAATCAATTACAAATCCTGATGGCCCGTTGAATACGGCAACATCTCCATTTCTTCGGACAATACGCCTCAGTGTCGGGAAAACCAGTCCATCGATGTTCTTGTGATCCCAACAATAATGAGCGGCTACTCCTTTCGCAACATCGGTGACATAATCCATCCTTCTCAAGAGAAAGTCTTTGTCATCGAAATAAAACTTTTGAACTTTGGTATGCGTCGGAAATCCATCTGGATATGTTACTTCCAAAACGCGCCAGTTGTCTCTGCCTTCGGTATGCGGTTCCAGCTCGCGGGTTGTGAAATCGGGGCGAATAAAGAGAAACGGGATGGATAAGTAGTTGCACATCGCGTAACTGATGAAGTATGTGAGTTGTAGATCGTCCCATTGAGTGGTGCGGACGTGGTCTTTGAAAGAAGAGCGATTTTGCTTGTATTCTTTTATGACCGAGCCATCTCTTGCCTCTAGCCACGTCCTATCGTAGTCAAAATACCCTCTGTCGTCAGGGTTGGTGCCTGGCAGTCCTTGGATGACACTTTTAAACTTCTCGACATCAACAGTAATGGTTGGTTGATGGTGACCGGGATAACCTTTTAATTCGAGAAAAGCGCCGGAAAGTTGAAGGTCACGTCAATGGACTCGACACGATTCCATCGGTCCAATCCGCCGTGTGCCTCAATCACTCTGTCAAGAAGCCGAGATTCCTGAGCAGAAGTGGCCATCATGAATTATCGTAAATGGAAATGCAGTCGATGGATGAATATTGAAACCGGAGTGGTAGAATGCAAAGCGCTGTAGATATACTCCTGAGATTGTTCACTGACATGAAGGCACGAGGCTTATTCATCAAAATGAATAAGCTCTAGACAAAGCCCTTTTTGGCATCGACGTGCTTTGCTTACCAAGAAGCATTAATAATTCTGATGATGTTTTTGGAGGGCGCTGCAACTTAGAAGGCGTGAAGCCATAGAGGGCGCCAGGTTTGAGAGGGCGCAAAGTCCCAAGAGGGCGCAAAAATGACATCAGGAGTAAGGAGTTGAGTAGCTCGAGCGTAGATTTGAGTAGTGAAAGTGGTAAATTTCCTAGATAACTCGGGTAGATAGCCCTCAATACATCTTTGGACGGTGAGGTACAGGCCATGCCTCTATAGTTAAGGGCGGCTTACAAATCGTTTAGCTGAAAGCGGATATACTAACAATTAAGTCATTACCAGTTGACTACCTAGGTAGGCATGGAACATTGAAACCTAGGTGGCGTGAGATTAATGGCAAGTGTCCACTTATAATGTGGCTTGTATTAAACCACGAAGGTTCAAGATCCTAGCAGAGTGAGAAAATTCTTGCTGTCTAGACGTAGTATATGACTGGTAACTGATGGTGTTCGCTGATGAAATAGTCAAATATACCACCCGAATTCTGACATTTCAGATTTCCATGCTTGTTCAAATGCCTAAGCTAATGGCGTTTTAACACAAGTAGACCCTAAGCGAACCCCCAAGTACTTCTTAAATCAGCTAAATATAATCTTTAAACTAATACTTTTTTGTTTCTTATACCCAGAAGATATTACCATTGTGTTAGCAGGATTATTACGTACAGATGCCAGAGTATTTGACACCGGGCAATGGTTTCCCCTCTAACCTTTACTCCACCGAGAGAGCAGACCATCGGTCCCAGAAAATTGATCACAAGTCTATAATCATCTTAATGTGAAGGCATCCTTGACATGATTAAAAATGCAACGCCAAAATGCTACTCCCCGTCCGAGGCATGATTCATCCGCTACAGCTCATATACGCCAATGTTTACGGAAAGAAACGTGAAGTCGAGCGAGCATAATATCTCTCAGATTACTTTTCCAGTTTAAACAAACGAAAGCCAGTGTATCATGTCAATTACATGACATTGATACGTGAGAAGACAACTGAACCATTTCCGCGGACTTAAAGTCGTATCCTTATTTCGGCTATGTATGCGAGCTTCGCAGAACCAACAGCAAGATCCCTACAAGTCAACATGATTCAGACAAATTCGAGGCATGCATCACCGCTCCGGTTTACTATTAGCTGGATTCGAAAAGGGCAGGAGCCCGGCACCAGGGTCAGGTATGGTCAACGGCTTGACTCCCGCACATATCCGTTACTATGACTGTAGCATTATACGAGTGCTGATAATTACAAAGTAGGAGCCACTGTCAGACTTAATATACCGGCCTTTAATATTATTAATACGAGTCATAATAGTGTGTTCGCATATTGAAGCGTAGTAAAGTTTAGGTCCAACTGGTTGTTAGCAAAGTATTTCTACTTCCTCAAGCGATAAGTTTATCAATAATCTCCTTATACTGAAGGAGAGATCAATATCTTACAGGTTTTATAACAGCCCGCTATGCCTTTCAAATCTACTATACAATCCGTCGCTTATTTGCTCGTGTTCATCCCGTCATGCTTCCTCAGTCGCATCTCCATAATAAGCTCGGATGGTCTAGTCGGAAAACTAGCCTCTTCGGCAATAGTGAACATCCAACGAGCCCTCGTGTTTCTGACCCTGCAAGAATGTTCTATATCGTCGGCAACGACTAGGGGCCTGACATTCCTAGGCAGCAGTTTATAGAATAGCCAAGGGAATTACTTGAACGGTTATTATTGATTAGCCCTGACGGCGGCGGCGGTGAAGCTGGCCATGATCTTATTGAAGAAAATGAAAGTGATTACGAAAAGCTTTATTTGGTAGTATTGGTATAGCTAGCTCGCGAATAGTTTCAGAATCGATCAAGCTTTAAGTGAGAATACCCTCCGACCTATGTTTGTCTTTTATTTGAGCCATGTTAGATAGCAATATCCGAATGTACTAGGAGATAACCAGCATTTCTACCACCAGCAGCGCGAGTCACTTCAAGAACACCTTAGATGCTGCTTGACCAAGCCCTTAAAGCTAGTTAATTAATTCCTAGATGAAAGATATAGACACTTCATCCCTGCAAATATAGCTGTAGCTACAGGGGGAAAACTTTCCAACAGAAATCGGGTATCGATGATTAGATCAAATGGGAACTGACTTATCTCAGGCTATAGTTTTAATAAAGCGTGGATGGTCTGGTTAATTACTGTAGAATTTACGTTAATAATAGATTGAAACCAGAGTTGCGCCCCCCAGCTATCAATACAATATAATTTCTAGTGCTTATCAGACAAAGCAGTGAAGATGTTCTTCCGGAAAAATTACCGGAATGAGCGGCGCTTTGACACACTGAATTACAATTAGCAAAAGCAACTTCCCGGCCTCGTGATAATTTGGCCTATACAATGCAATGCGGTGATTGCCTGTCCATAATAGATCTTAGAGCTAGTCAAACGAATAGGAATAGGAGAGATATCGTACTAACCTTATGTAGTCTTTGATGCGAGCTTATCGTGTTCCTATTGCGAAGCTTGTGGGATACTTACCTTCACGCCGACTTCTCAAGATCTTGTATAATATGGAGTCAATATTATTCCAGCGACTAATGAAGGAAGCCAAATCTCTTACCTTCTCAATCAAGGTGATCATCAGCTTCTTAGATTCCATCCAAACATTCTAGGCCTTCCACCATGATATTAAACTAACCGAAAATGTTCCCATGAAATATAGATTACTCTAGCTACGTCTATGGCCGGAGAAATAGAATTAGGAAGGGATTTACCCAGCTCTGGGTGCTATCCTGTTACGGATTTGAAGCGAGTTCGGAGTTCGTAAATGTTTTGACAACCACCGGGATGAGAAAATAAAAGTTCTGACTGTGGGGGCAACATGGACAGAGGAAGTATATAAGGAGAGGAAAGAATCACTTACAAAAAGCCTGAATTAAAAGAAATACAGGAAATCTAGCGTCCACAACAACCGACTTATCACCAATTTTATTTTCGCTTGTCTCTTAACTCTTGATTTCAACTCCTTCTCCAACTCAAACAACCCAATCATCAGCTCTCAATCAATATGAAGGTGTCGACAACTACTGCTCCCTTTTCACTAGGCTACCTCCAATACGCCAATGCTATCTGCAACTCGGGCGAGGTTGGCATCGGCCGCAAGCAAGAGTACGAATGGCAAGGGCAAAACAACGTTTTGGTGAACGACCAATGGGTCATCGCCGCCAACAACTGCAATGATATTGATCTCTCCCAAAACGAATTCAAAGGCGACCCTTGCAGCGCTTGGACCAAGCTACGGCAGCCGCAATGGAATCAACAGCTGTGATAGCAGCGGCATGCCTGGCTTTGTATGGACCAATGGCGCCAACTTTCACAACTGCTATGGTGTTTCCGAGTCATGCGCTACTGGACCTTTTCTCTATGAGCCTATTTACTGGTGCTGCCAAAGCTGGTAAACAAACCCCGACATGATGATATATTATCATAATCCGACTCTTACATTCATAAGATGGGCCTACGGAGTAGGTGTTTCTGGATCAAAGTCATGTCGGAACTGATGGAGATTACTGGATCATTTAATGTGCAATTTAGTAATCGACTCAGACTATCAGAAGCTTCAGACTTGAGTCTCGGTAACTGAACATACAAATTCACTTCTCTACATTCTTTTAAATAGCTGAAGTAGCCAATCATTACTAAGAAGATACAAGTAAAACTTGGTACTAAGTGTTGTAAATGCATCTCAAGCGGAGGTCACAAAAAGCGAGACTGCAAAGGAAATAAGTACATACATTCAGTAATATAAGCACTTCATCAACTTATTAAGTAGTGCTTTTATAGAGGAACGCCTACTGGTATTCAACTAGCATACGAATTTTACTATATAAGTATAATAGTAGTTACTAAAGAAATATAGATATAGGAGTAGTTATCAGGTAAATGTAGACATAGTAGTAGTTACTAGGGAAATATAGATATAGTAGTAGTCATTAGGCAAATGTATAGTAGATATAGTAGCTACTTCCCTTATAGGCGTATAATTTAACTAGTGGGTGTTCGAATTCTTCTCGGCCTCGGTTTTTCTGTCATCCGCTTGGCATCTGTAGTCTTAAAAATAAATTTTGCCACCAGCGAATGTCCGCTGTTTTATGCCGCTACATTTTAATTTATATAGTTTCTAAGCTTAAAAACACCCTAATTTCTAGGCAGCCTGAGAAAATTGTTGTTTAAAGAACTCCCGTTTACCGAGTCTACCAGTCTTTTGTTGTGTGTCTGCATTACCATTTTCTTGGCTCGTTAGGACTTTGGCCTCTTGAGAGCTAGAAGGATGACCACCAAGCAGCTCTTCACCAAAAATGCGTGATGGGGTCTGAGATCCCGAGACAAAGCCTCCCTGGTCACTCGAACTTGACGTCGCCAATGAACCGTCGATACTGGCACCAGTCTGCGACTCATGAAGCCCTGGATATGAATCGCATTGCTCAGTCGTAGCTGATTCAACTCCTGGTGACAAATGCCCAGAGGTCAAGCTTAGACTATTACTACCTCCGCCGAGCAGCTGAATTTGGTGCGAAACAAAGGCATTAACTCCGTATGAGGCCTCCGAAGCTACTGGAGGCTTAGATTCTGTAGATACCCCGATACCACCCTACATCCAGTTCAATTGGATGTTGTGGCTGAATATACCCGTACCTCGGGGCTTCAGAGTTCTGCTGCCAGCTCTTGGAATTCCTCCAAAGTCTTTTGACTTTTGTAATTCTTGCACAGATAAGACTGATTAAAAGCAGTTTTAATGTTGCAGTTGCATGATCTGAAAGGCTTATCTGAACTGTGCCAGCTAATGTTGTTCGTAAGCCTCCGCTGCTCACCTCCTTCTTCCCCATGAGAGCGCATAATATTCGTAAGGTCTGAGATACAAGCTCCAAGATAGGATCTATCCTTTAGCATTTGAGACCAACGATCGCAAATTGCCTCAATGTTTGATGGTCGAATGTTTTCGCCAAAGTTATTGCCAAGTAGTACAACTGCGCCAATGCCTGTAATAAGATTTACTCGGCCTTGACCCATTGCTTCGAGCGTTGCAACTCTGGGATGGCAATCTTTGTTTTTGATGATATACTGATTCGTGCAGTAAGGGGGTATACTATCCATTTATCTTTGAGTCGGTCCAAGTCGTTGTAGATTGAATTGCGATCTCAAAAGTAATCATCGTCGATAAAGTAGTCAAATTCACAGCGGAAAATGTGAGCGGGTTGCAACTCCTTTTTATTATAAGAGCGGCACAATAAATGAATCATCCGCAGGTCGTCACCTGAATCAACACATATCGGCCAAAGACACTACACTAAGAAAACAAAGAGCAACTAAAGCTACACCCCGTTCCCTTCCTCAAAATCTCCATCTAGCTACTGATGCAATTCGTTTAGCAGGACCAGTTCTCGGTGACACCACAAGCAAGGTGTTGAGATCCGACGGATCGGCAGTTGGCGTTGAAAGAGTTGTCGTTGTTAAACAGGGTCAAGCCAGCACCACCGCATCCCTTAATGTAGTAGGTAACACCGTTGGACAGAGTGAAACGGTTGTCGCAACCGTTGGTGACAGTGTGAGTGCACTCAGACTGGCCGCTGATCCAGGCAACTGTCAGGTGTTAGTAGGCTATATAGAAAACAGAGGGAAATTCAGGAAAGCTGCTTACTGGGAGTGCCGGCAGAGTCAGTGCCGAGGTTGACAGTGGCCAGGGCGCTCTGGGCCATGAAGCCGAAGAGGAGGGTGACGATAGCGGAGGTCTGCATATTGATTGATGTTGGAACCGAAAGGTTGGTGTTGAGGAGGTTGTTTGGAATATTTGTGTGTTGGAGTGAAGAAGTTGCTGGAGTGAAGAGGCTGTTGGAGTGAAGAAGTTGTTTGACTCGGGCGATGGACGAAGGTATTTATGCTTGTTGAGAGACAGCGGCCGGAGTCTTTAGGAAACGGAGAATTGCCTGAATCTTAGAGAAACAATGCATTCCCGTCCGATGATGCCGCGGAATGACCCCATCGCCGCTTACTGACTGATTATTGCATGATGGCAAAGCCAACCCAAGATCACCCTGCCCTGAAAAGATCCGTAGTACTTTGTCTATTTGCCCGACAATCAGATACTATCCCCGAAGCAGTATCAAAATGTCATCAACTGCAATTATACACAGACCTGGATGTAACCCTTGATCAGTAAGCTGACGATCTTTTGTAGGGGACCACTAGTTAGAAATATCGAATTGCCAAGTCTAAATTGCAATTTTCAATGTTATGTTAAGAATATTTCAGACACAGATCTCCAAATCCTATGCCGTGGAATAGGGAGATTTGGATTTTGACGGAGGCGAGCCCAGTGAATCACGATATAATTTAAACTTTACAAAGACCTTTACACGAGGTAGACGTTAATGTGCGCTAAAGGTAGACTGGGGTTGTTGGTGAATCCGAGGTTGTGGTTTGATCTTTGGTGGTAACGATACACCCGTGAAGCCAGGGCCTGTAGGAGTTTATTGCCAGATCGGGTATGCCTCACGTAGTAGTAAGCTCAGGCCGCTTCCAGTTGACGGGTAACTTGACTCGAACTTGGTCTTTATTGGCTACCGCAATCCCTCGGAAAATTGGACTATGCGTATCCCCAGAATTAATCCCGGTTTTGATCAGGAAAACACAGGGATCGGAAAAATAGATATATACTACATGGGGATAATAATAGTAATGTTACAACAAGCTTATGTAGCATGGTAGTATGTGCTTATTTTTTGGCTTCTTATGTGCTAATTATTTGTCTATATGGTATTTATTTGTCGATATGCTAACTACCTACCTATTTGTCGATCCTCGCTTACATGTATTTGACAAACCCCTTGGCAACCAGCTACATAGCATTGGGTATTGAAAACTCAACCCAACGGCCTGTTTTGATAGCCAGATTTAAAAGCTGTAGCTATGATGATTTCGAACAGCAAAAAAGTAAACTGTAAAAGACGTATGAGTTACTGGAGCTGCTATCCTAGCCCTGAAAGCATCAACTGACTGGTCCTCATCAGAGATCCATGGATATTACAGGTATCACATCGGGCCGTCGGGTCTTTAGATCAGCTAACAGAACGGAGTCCACCCGGGCCATCGAAGCCGGTCTCCGCCCATCAGCCCGGCAGTCATCAATACATGTATTTAACCCCTTTGTGCCTAACTAGCCTCAGTCTGGAAGGCCAAAAAAGACAAATACCGGCCGGTGGGCAATCAGGTATCGCACCACAATTACCACTCCTCCACCACTCTCCATCCCGGAGGTGTACGACGCTGGGGTCGGGGCCTTCAAGTTCATGGAACTGGCACGAGAGTCCGTACGAGACAAACCGGAGATAAGGGAGATTCTATTCTCATTAATGGCATTTAGGAAAGATCCGGATTCCTCATAGGGAGCCTATACGAGTGGGCCTTCATAGAATCAGCAGCAATCAGGCGCCGGGCCCGCAAGGAAACAGGTGGCCTCATAGCAGAAAGGTTATATATTGTATTCGTAGTATGCATGTATGTACAGTGCTTGTAATCTGTTCCTAAAGGATGGAGTAGCGCTTCATCTAATAGGCGACCCAAGTCACGACACACCCTACGCCATTCGACGTGGATAGCTTCGTCTGCGTCTTTGACGTGGTGGAATCGGCTGCCTTTGCGCAATCTGTGCAATCCGTATATCTCAAACATGATCTAGTGAGCATTTAAAACTCTTCCATGCGCCAATTGACGTATGACAGTTGCCCAGGCGCATCAAAACATAGAGATAGAGACTCGGATGGTCGAGGTGCGATGTTGAGCCCGGTGCCGGTAGAATCAACAGTCGTCTGGGTCGAGGGCCGTGGCGATTGAGGCTCGGGATCGTCTGTGACGCTCAGCGAAGGCCGTCCTTGTCCGTTCATGGACTTTCTAGGCATGGGTTCGGCCACTCGAATGGTCTTAGCTGGCGCTGTACTATTGGCGATATCTCTACCACACCACACGTGCTGTCCGACTTGTAGACTCGAGAAGAACTTGGGATCGCGATGAATCGTTATGAAGTATCCTGAAGCAAGGCCACGCTTGGATGCCAAGCATCCGCAACCATCGCCGTTAACGGCACTGATAGTCTTGCAGATGCCATCGGAATTCGCGGGAGGGAAGGGGTCGGCCAGCGTACCCGACGAGCAGCACATTTTTTGACCAGGCTCAAGCGTTTTGCAAAAATTGGCTTGTGGGTTGAACTTGGCCAAATCAGTCTGGCTAATTCCGGCCACGGCATCACAGTCATCTTTTGATACGATAGCCGTAGTTTTGTAGATTGCTCTGACGCTCAGCCATGACTTGCCTCAAACATGAGTTGGGATATTTGATCCTCCAAATACAGAGGTGCGGTTTGAGGAGCTGGTTTTCTGGAAACTCGCAGACCATCTTCCATCCAGTTTTTGTTAATGTTCGCCATGGAGACACATCACCCGTCCGCCCAGGCCTTAACGGCGTCTTTGACAGATGGTAGGTTTTCTGAGCTGCTCACAATGACTCCCACAGCATAGTCTGCCCCACTGCCGCTTTCATTGCAGAGCTGAGCAACAATAGTCTTAGAAGTATTCCGCCTGCTTTAAAAAGTTACTCAGAACTTCAGTAGCTAGGGCATGTTGCTCAACTTCGGTGCCGGAGAAAACGCCAATGACAGAAGACTGAGAGTAGCCAAAGATCAAGGTGTTGTCTGTACAAGAGGATGTAGCAGCGCCGAATTAATAATAAAGGACCGAATTTTCGGCTGATAGTACATCATTTGTAGCGAGGCTTTGTCCCGAATGCCTTGGCAGGAAGAAGAAAGATATACCTAATTGGCTTCAGGTGACGTCCGTTCTGCTGGCGCGCGTGCCATTCAGCAATGATCGCATCTCTAGCAGTGTTTGATCTGGTCAGGACGTTGGAGGTAGACCCAAAGTTATTTTGCGCAATAATATTATGTTAGACTAAGCGGTATAAGGAGGTAGTTACGCCTAGAAGATATATTTGACCAAATATAAGGAGTATATAAATTATTAATGAACCCTTATAAATTAGCATTAAATATATAAAAACATAAGTGTTTAACTTATTATTTAATTAATAAAAATATTATTATATTTTTTTTAATTTTTTTAAATTAAAATATTTATAATTAATTAAATACATAAATATTATTTTTAAAAATTTTAAACGTTAATATAACTTAATATATACTTTAATAAACATATATTATATAGTTCAAAGTTTTTTATTAATTTTTTTAATATAATTAATATTTAAAATATTTTTAATATATTAATACTATACTTCTAAATGTTTTTTTTAAATTATTAATTAAATAATATTAAAAATAATTATATTATAATATATTTATGATACTTTATATTTATTTTTCTCACTTATATATACTTAAAGTAGCTACTAGTTTTATTATTATAATAGTATTATATTTAAAAAAGAAAAGAAATAAAGGTTTAAAAAGAAATAAAGGAGAGGAATAGGTAATAGAAGCTTAGACCTTTTAGCTAAAGGTTAGGTAAGGTATTAAGCCTTCTTAGCCAATCAAATCCGCAGGCTATAATGTAACGTCGCCACCCCACCCTTATGTGACCCACACCGTCCTCCCTCACATGAGGTGTACTCGTAACAGGTACGTATTTTGGTGTGGGGTGTGGGGTGTGGGGTGCGGGGTGTGGGCATATAGCTAGATGATTAGCTGCAGCCTACCTAGTAAAATATCTGTACTGCTCTTTATGTATTATCGAAAGGTAATCTTCTCGGTGGTCGTACGACGAATGACCGAGCTCAGCATAAAGGTCGCCGCTCACCGCGGGGCATCCATTCTTTGCCCGTACTCTCATCTACCACTGGACTTCGCTCGTCATGCTCTCTTCCGACCTCACCCAGAGTGCTCTGGCACTCTGGCTGACGCCCGTCGTCCTCTATGTCGTGTACGCGTGGATCAAAGTCATCACCGGCGCCTTCTTTGGCCCTTTGAGCAAAATTCCCGGCCCCAAGCTCTGGGCCATCTCGCGCATTCCTCGTATGTACATGGAATGGCAGGGTGAGGAAGCGCATGGAGTCCTCGCGTTGCACAAGAAATACGGCCCGGTCGTGCGGCTGGCGCCCAACGAAGTGTCGTTTACTGGTGGTTTTCAGGATTGGGTAAGGCTCCGTGGGAAAACGTGCCCGTAGCTATTCCCCAGCCGCGCTGACATAACTGACTCCTTTGTCGTGCCCAACAGAAAGACATTTATGGCTACCGAAAGAACATGGGCCAAGAGAAGCATCCACATCGTTCGTCAGCGTCGTATTGGCCTCCGGCCAACGGAGCCCCGAGCATGATTCAGGCCATGCGCGACGAAGAACACGCGCGACTGCGCAAGAGTCTGGCCGTCTCGTTCAGTGAGAAGTCCATGAAGCAGATGGAACCACGCGTCAAGGGCTGGGCTCGGCTTCTGCAGACCAAGTTGGCTGAGCGCGGTGATGCTGCGGTGGATATGGTCGAGTTGTTTAGATGTGCAGTAAGTCCAACCATGTATTCCGTCTATCGCGATTTCTGATCTGCAGGTTATCAGAGGAGAGTTGAGAGCTGAACGCTGAATGGCACATTTGGTTCTGATTGACTAACGAGGCAGTAGACTTTCGATGCCATGGGTGACCTCGCGCTAGGGTAAGGTAAGGCTAAGATTCTAGAGATTGTTTGCCGCGCTAAAGTCTTCTCCTTCGACAGGGACGACCTGCAAATGCTGAGAAATGGCCGTCTCTCCGACTACGTCCATGCGGCTTTTAGTGGCATTCGAACCATCATCCGCCTCCGGGTCCTCTCCACGTACAATTCCTTCACCCGCTGGCTCGTTAAAGACTGTTTCTTACAAAGCGCATTCGTCCGGAAGGCCGCCATGGAAAATCTCCGCTACTCCGCAGACCGTATGGATCGTCGCCTGCAAGATCCAGCCCGAGACCCTCCCGATCTCTGGACAAAACCCCTGACTGGTATTGACGGCAAGATGTCCCTGGACGAGTATCACTCCACCGCACAGCTTCTCATGACTGCGGGCACCGACACTACGGCGATAGGCTTGACCGGCACGCTGTATTTTCTTCTTACCAACCCTGACTGCCTTGCTAAGGTCACCGACGAGGTTCGCTCCGCCTTCTCATCTATGGACGACGTAACCTACGAATCCCTCGCCCAACTGAAGTACTTGGACGCCACCCTGCAAGAAGGCCTGAGACTCTACCCACCGGTGCCTACCGGCGCACCCCGCGTCACTCCGTTCCCTGGATGGTCCATCGGCGGCTACTGGATCCCAGGCGGCGTGAACGTCCACGTGCCACACTATGCCACGTCTCGCTTTCCCGCCCACTTCACCAATCCCGACTCTTTCCACCCAGAGCGCTGGCTGGGCGACGAGAAATTCCAAAACGACCGGCTTGATGCCGTCCAGCCGTTCAACTACGGCCCTCAGAACTGCTTGGGTCAGGTACGACTCGCCCACGAACACGTTCACGCGAACCAAAATCTCGTCTTGCCGATGCTGACTGTGAACTAGGCTTTTGCTATGAACGAGATGCGTCTCTTCATGGCCGCTGTGTTGCTCCAATTCGATCTACAGTTGGGCGAGGACCACCGAGACTGGTTTGATCAACGAGTGTTCTCCATGTGGGAGACGAAGCCGTTGATGTGTGTCGCGACTAAGACGAGCTGAAGTCGATCCCGCTCGTTTCATGATCCTTGGAAGGTGGGAGTATAGACGGTGTTTCAACTTTCAACTCTCATTCCTCGTCAAGGCGACTACGCGAGACACTTCTGATCATGTAACTTAAAAGAACCCGGCGTCCACTAAACAGGCACATAACGCCATGGAGTAGGATAGTGGATTCTAGCACTCAAAAGATAAAAACCATACGTAGATGAGTAGATATTATCTGCTGTGCCTAGGTGCCCAGAAATCTAGAAGCCTGGAAGCCCCCAGGTCTATTGCAATAACCTTCTATTACAATAGTAAAGGACGTGCTGACCTACATCGTTATAACTCAGGTTTACTATAATTATATAACTTAATGGATCAGTCTTCTTAAAATGCTATAGGTTGGTCCCAACATTAGACTACTGGGTTTATATCTGGAGGTACCCACAGTCGAGTGTTGCAAGGTAATACAGTAAAGAGTAAGTGGCCAGAACTCTGCGACCACCTCACAGTGCGCTACCCTAAACTGCAAAAAACATACGCTTTTTGGAAATTAATAATTAATTTTACAAAAGTACTATAAAAATGAATCCAGATCTTCTTAAAGAAAAATATTTTTTACTTTTTATTTTCATATTTTATCTCATAATGCAGGCACTATAGTAGTATACATTAGATTAAACATAAAGTAGTTTTTTTTTTCTCTAGTAAAGACAGTGTAAATAATGTCTAACGCCATAATACACCCCCTCCCCCCCTTTACTATAACTATACTCTTAAATAACCTACATTATATAAAAGCTATGAAGAAAATATTTTAATATATAAAAATTTATATATATAAATTATTTATTTTTAAAAAGATATCATATTTTTAGGCTGGTTTAATGTATATTTGCGGATTTAAAAATATAGTGAAGTTTCAATTTCAGGTGGCGCACTGTAAAGTGGTCGCAGACCTTTGTCCACTAACTGTAGGGTGGTGCGGGGTAGTAGGCGGGGTAGTAGGCGGGGTAGCTCCAGGGGGGGCGTGCATTGAGCGAAGCCATGAACGCCGCCTTTTTCTTACTGCAGATCTACTAGTATCTGCGGATGGGAAACGCCGGGTTTTACGCCGAAGATGGGGAAATGAAGGCGCTATATAGGTGCAATAAGTAAGCAACAGGGTCGCGACTGCGTCTGTTCTTCCCTCGGGGATCTGCGTCCCGGAAGTCGCTCGTACGAGTATATTGATGTAATCATGTAATCTACCAATAGCGTCTGGACGGGTGTCCACACGGCCAATCGAAGTTGCGAAGTATGTAACCGCTCGACTAGGAAGGAGGTTCTAAGTTCATCGGGGTAGATATTTTGATAGGGGAATTTGATCGGGCTTGTGACCTGTAGCGGCTAGGATAGATGAATAAGCTGGACTCGGCCCGGCTTGGTGGTATAAAGGAAGAAGGATCCTGACGAAATGACCCCTAGCTGTGATGGCGGCGGAACGAGGCTACAGCAGCTAGATCAAATGGTTCCTTGAACTTGTTCTGGCGCCGTGGTCCTTATAGTGGCTAGACGAGCTAGGTAATGTGTTTAGGTGTTATTGGCCAGGTTCAAAGGTGCGCTCCCTAGCTGTCAACAAATTAACACCTACCTCTTTGAACTTATATACAACAGTCTATGGTAGGATAGTAACTATAAAAGAACAGTACTTAATACTTTATATATACTTCTATGAATTTCTACTGCTCTGCTTTATATATTTAGTAGATTTATTGTTTTACTATAATTAATATTAAAAGAGCTTTTATAACTTATATTATAAGTAAGTAAAGCTTACTACTAGGTAGTATCTTTAATAAAAGAAAAATACTTATATTATTACTAAGTATACTATAAAAGGCTAGATCAGAAGGCCATTCTTTCTGCTAGTCTCTGCTAAAGGTAGGTCGTTAGCCATCAGCAACCTCTTATATATACAACTGTCTCTCCCATCGGAAATCCTATTAGGCAAACCCTTCTATCGGACCTATCAACACATCCCCAACTCTCGTCCACCTTAAGCCATGTCCCACGACGGCGAGCCCGACCCGCAACCCCGGGAGCACTATCCCCTTAATCGCGACTTGCTCTCCTCCGCCCGCCTGCACCTCCAGCACACCGTCTTCGTCAACGGTCTGGGTTACCTGCTGCACCCGGCCGTCCCTATCGGCCCCGCCTCGCACGTGGCTGAAATCGCCACCGGCACCGGCATCTTCACCCTCGCACTCGCCGCGGCCCATCCCGAAGCCCGCGTCGAAGCCTCCGACATCTCCCTCGCCCAGGTACCCAACCGGCACTGGTGGCCCGCCAATGCGACCTTTGAGGTCCTCGACATCTTCCAGGACTTGCCGGACTCCCTGCTCGCGCGCTACGACGTCCTCTGCCTCCGTCACTTCGTCTCCCTGCAGCCCGGTGATCCGCGTCCGCTGATCGCCCGCTTGCTGTCCATGCTGCGGCCCGGGGGCTATCTGCACTGGCAGGAATGGGACCTGACCACCGCCGCCGTCTCCGCCCCGGACGGCACCTCAACCCCCAAGATGCAGGCGCTGATCGATTACATCAAAGATCCCGCCCGACACGTCGCCCGGGCCACCTGGGTTGGCGACTTGCATCAGAGGGTCGAGGCCGGCGAGGTGCCTGGCGTGGAGCTGGTCGCTTACGACCGCGTCCGCGCTGCTAAGCCCGAGGTCGTCGCTATGCAGCAGGAACTCATGGCGCTGGGCACCAAGGAGGTAGTCGCCAGTCTGCGGGCCCGCGAGGGCGAGGCAAGCGTCGAGGCCGCTAAGTTCGAGAAGATCGCGCACGACGCCGTCGACGAGTGTCTGAGCTTGGGGAGGGGCCCTGTGATCGATCAGGAGATGGTGACGTGGGTGCTGAGGAAGAAGTGAAGTGCATGCAAGAGATAGAATGTACAGCCCACAAGCATCTACTTTGTTAGGTAGTTTTGCAGTTCACTTGGTACGAGCAACGTAACCGGTAACAATCAGTAAAAGTACCTTTTCTATTTATTTTCATATATAACCTACTTTAGAGTCAAAAAGAAGATACTACCTTTTGAAAGGTTATAAAACCCAAATACTATACTATCCGAATATGTAGCAACTAGAAATGGACTTTGTTGCTGTTGAAAAGGTGTAATTAGGCGTTTTTTGCTATATTTACGAGATATAAGTTATCAGAAATAGTTGCTGATTAGGTATTTTCTTCAACTTCTCGTGGCACGCACGGGACTTATAGCACACATGTAAGGGTCACGTGTTGAATCCATTTCAAAGACATCATCTTGGTTTATATTATCTCTAAAGTACTCGTGAACTCGGGACTTATTTTAGTTGACTCATGCCGTCGGCAACTCGACCGCTTTGCTCGTCGATGCCACCTTCCTACACAGCTGAGCAAGACTCAACGAGCCCATGATTTCCAACACAGGCACATCCGCCTTGACCTTTCTCGCCATGAACGTCCTCAGTTCCAGCGCAACAAGCGAGTCAACGCCATTGGCACTGATGGTCCGCGTCGGATCCACATCCTCGACCGCAATCGAGAGCAAGGAAGACAACTTATCAATGACCGCTTCCGTCACAATCTGAGCCGCCTCATCCAGAGTCCGAGCCGCTCGAAGCCGCGCCTCAACGTCAGGTCCATCGCCGGTCGTCCCTGCGCCGTCTTGCTGCGTATTGAGCCGCCGCAGCTGCGTGAAGAGAGGGAAGTTCATGTAACTGAGCATCGGCACGCCTCGAGCACGATGCTTGTCCAACGGAGTCATGCCCGTAACGAGCTGTGCAGGCGACTGCAGAGCAGCGTTCATGCCGTACTCAATGAGCGTAAGCAACTCTTCTTCGCGCAGCACTTTCATCATACTGCCTAGGTATTTTGTCATGGCCAGGCGGTCCGCGTGATCGGCCACGTATCCGACGTCTAGCACTGCGCCAACGTCGATCGTCGTGGCCGGTAGACCTTGCTGCCGACGGAAGTGCGCCAGCGCGTCCTGGAAGGTGTTTCCAGCGGCGTAGTTGGCCTGAGCCCGGTTGCCGAGTACGCCCGTGGCCGAAGACAGCATGATGAAATGATCCAGATCCTGGGGCAGAAGTTCGTGTAGGTTCCACGAACCTTGAATCTTGGGTCTGATAGCCAGCTGGAATTCCTCGTGCGTCATGTTCTCGAGCATGACGTCCTTTAGCTTCATTGCTCCTTGGACGACGCCTTTTATAGGTGGGAGGGTCTTGCACTGTTCGAGAACGAGACGCAGCTGTTCCTTGTCGCTGACATCGCATGTGAAGATATGCACACGACATCCGTCTGCTTCGAGAGTCTCGCGCATCGTTGTGACGGCTGGAGTGATGCGGCCGCTGCTGGAAAGGAAGATCAAGTTTCGAGCGCCTCGCGAAGCCATCCATGCAGCAACGCTCCGTCCAATACCTCCAAGGCCGCCGCTGAGCACGTAGGATGCATCTGGACGAAAGCCAAGCGGCGCTGGTGACGGTGGAAGGAGTGGCAGAACGTCATCCTCCCGAGGCACCAGAACAATTTTGCCCATGCCCGTGCCGCCCTGGAGAATGCGAAGTGCATCCACCACCTGCGACATGGGCATAATCGTAGTTGGTGATGCAGGCAGTGCCACGCCCTCTTTCCACAGCCGCATCGTTTCCTCTGTCAGCATCTTGATGAGGAACGGTTTGTTCTTCATCATAGAAACGAGGTCGACACTCGCCATGGTCACGTTGCGCAAGTAGGGCCGAAGATCCACTTTGCCATTCATCATGGCGTCTTTCTTACCAATCTCAATGAAACGACCGAAGGGTGCCACCAGATCCCATGAGCGGCGCAGCGCCTCACCAGAGAGCGAATTCAAGACTACGTCAACGCCTCTGCCTTTTGTCATACGCAATATACCCTGGACGAATGTGAGGTCGCGACTTGAAAAGATGTGATCCTCTGGAATCCCGAACTCCTTCATTATCAACTGATTCTTTGTTAGCAAAAGGTGTAAAGAAAACTTCGACTGTCACGGCAACAAACTTACGTCTCGCTTCACGGCAGTCGATAGGGTTACATACACCTCGGCGCCAATATGTTGAGCGTAACGAATCGCAGCCTGGCCCACTCCACCGGCAGCAGCATGGATAAGAATGGTTTCGCCGGCCATCAAGCGACCCGTCTCCCGTAGGCTGTAAATGACTGTGGCATAGACAACAGGCAAGCCGGCAGCCATCTCGAGACTGAGTCCATCGGGGACTTTGGCGACTGTCGATTGATCCAAACGACCATACGTGTGCATGCACCCGACATGGTCCAGGCCACAGATGTAGACAACCCTGTCGCCAGGAGCGAAGTCGACTACTTTGGGGCCCACGCGAGAGATGATGCCAGCTGCTTCACTGCCCATCGAGTACGCCGTATGCTCCCCCATGGCAATCATGAGATCGCGAAAGTTGAGGCCAACAGCTCGTATCTCGATTTCTACTTCTGTATCGGAGAGTGGCTGATTGTACGTCTCGTCGGTCACCCACTCAAGTTTTTCTAGCAGACCTGGAACAGTTGTCGTGAGCTTGATGGGCCTGCCAGCATCCTTGGCCAGCGTTGGGACTGCTTCTGAGCGGTACAGAGTCGTTTGCAAGTATTCATCTGCACGAATGGCCTCGCGGAGCCGACTCGTCCAGATCCGGCCATCTTGAAGCATGAACTCGCCATTCATGTTCTCAACTGGGAGAGTGAGCGAGAACTGCGCCTCACACAGCCTTCGAATCGACGCACTCAGCGAGGTATTTTCAGGTCGAGGCTCAGAGATTTTCAGCGTGACCAGGTTGGAATCGTCCAAGTCACGTTCCCATCTGGTTGTACGCATCAGGCCGGTTATGGCTCCGTACTGGGGGCAGAAAAGCTCATCTCCAGTTACCCACAAGATGCTTTTAGCCTCGATCAGCATTTTCCGGACACCCTCGTACTCGGCCTGGGGCAGATCTGCAATCACAGGACGTTCAAGTTCTGCTAGAACGATGCAGAGACTTTGGCTATACTCGATCCCTTCCAACTCTAGCAAGGATACGATGCTGATGTTCTGGAACCGGAGATTCTCGGTCAACTTGTCTTTGATGTCCTGCAACAAGTTTTGAGTCCTGCTTCGCTCGGAGCTAGGGAGTGTGACGAGCACAACGTTCTTCCACATGGGACCGGGCTCGTTGGCGTCTGCAGAAGCGTTCTGGGCCACGAAAAGACTCTGGCTATGGAGCTCTTCATTGTGGCTATCGGGAAGTTCGAAGCGCGCTCCCGTAAAACCAGCAGCCTCGAGAACTTCATTCCACTGCTTGGATGAGACCCATGGCATCCATTGACGCATGGATTCAGTGCCATTCCACCACCCTGACAGCTGGCCAAATGATAGCCCGGACCAGTAGTAATCCTGCCTTCTACCTTCTTGTAGAAGCAGGCGGCCCCCGGGCTTCAGCAACTGGCGAATATTACTCAGTGTTTTGGTGAGGTTGGTGGTGGTATGGATGACATTCTGAGCTACAATCAAATCATAGCTCCCGACTTCGAAGCTCTCTTGCTTGGCGATGTCTTGTTCTGCGTCCAGAACTCGGTACTCCATGATGTTCGTGTATGGCTGGAATTTCTGCCTCGCTTGTTCGAAAAAGGCGGCCGAAATATCAGTGTACATGTAATGTGACACGCTGCTAGCAATGGACACCCCATCATCTGCGATGGGAGCAAGGGCATCGAGTACTTGCGCAGTGGACGAGCCAGTGCCGGCACCCACCTCGAGCACGCGTAAATTGGCCTTATTCTTGGCGAATATGTTCAGATAGGCCTTCTGTTGCGCTGGTAGGTCGTTCAAGGTCGCAGTTCGTCTGTAGACTCGATCGAGTATGTCATCCTTACCGAACATGAGCTGCAGTGGGTCTGTCTCGCCTCTTAAGACGGGCACGATGTTGCTGCCCATTCGTTCTGCCAACTCACCGAACGAAGTGTCCGAAGCAACCTGTTTGTATAGCTCCACCTTCGCAGCGTGGTCATGTTTGAGTCGCTCAATCTCAGAGGCTTGGATACCTGTCACCTTGCCGAGCTGGAGATCACTCTCGACGTGCTTCATCCACTCGAAATACCGACAGAGATGACCTTGAGTAGCGGCCGGCATCTTGCCATCTAGTTCCTCCAGTGCGTCCAGGACAAGAAGTACCGAGGCCAGCTGCATGCGAGATTCGATCTCGATTGCAGCTTGCTCCGAGTCCAAATCACGCTTGGGCATCTCAGCGAACGAAGCGACGTCGCCTCCTTCGAGATACATATCCACGTGAGGAACCCATTCAATCTCGTGGCATAGCTTTTCTGCGCCGAGCGAGCTCTGTGCGGCGGAATCCAGGGGGCTTGCCTCAATTCCACTCCAGGAGATACGGGGTTCTTGAGTGGGACCATCCCAGACGACAACATCTGTCGAGAACTTCTCAAACGCAATCTTGCGTGTCTGGCTGTGAGCACGATAGACATGACCAGGCTCAGAGTTCAGTGCCGCAGAAATCCAAATGTCTTTGATGAACCGCGGCACCATGGCCACTTCGAGTTTGCTCTTTCCTGTGGCGTCCATGATCGCGGCCAGCGCAAAGTGCATCAAGCTGTCCATGCAAGCTGGATGCATCATGTGCGGAGATACCATGCCCTTGGGCATAACACTTGCAACGTCAGGAACGGTGACTGTGCCCATGGTCTGGCCACCATGGTCAAAGGTACCCCGGACAGCCGAGCAGTTCTGGAACAGCGGTCCAAAATTCAGCCCGATTCTTGCCATCCGCTCATAGGCCTTGGAAAAGTCCCAGGGAGATTGACACTGCTCTTCTGCAGCAGTGAAAGCGGCGCGCCAGCGTTCTGTGTCGAGTCGGGCTTCTCGTCCCTCGTCGACCGGGTTGGGGGCAGATGTCTCATAATCCACGGCAACGTATCCTGTGCAGTGTTCGATCCAGTCGCTCGCGGTTGGGTTATAGGACACTACTGAAAACCGACGCCAATGAGCCGAAGTGCCGACACTGGACTCATCAACTGGCTTGAAATTCAACATTACTTCGATTCCTTCTTTCGTGTCGGGTACGATCAATGCACGTTTCATATTAACATCTCGAAGCCGGAAGCCGCTCAATTGTGCATTTGGATCAGCCAGCTGTCTGGCTGCTT